AATAAGCTATTTAACTAAGGGGGTGAGGGAGATTATTTTATATTTTTCCTATTATAGAGCCAAGACACGTTCAATGATTTAAAAATGGATAAATCAGAAAATGCAGAAGCGTCAAAACTAAAAAATCAAACTGAGCTTCTCTTAAACCTCCCACACACCCTTTACCAACAAACCCTACACCAGCAATCACATTCTCCACAGGTACTAACTGTTAAAGGTTGGTGTATTAAAATCATTTAAGGCTTTCTAAAAAGATATAATGGGTATATTCTTTATATGTTTAATTTTACAATAAAGTGGAATTATACTATAAATATTGTTCTACATAATGAAAATCAAATTATCACTAAAGGTTTCTGGGCTAGCATAGAATCAGAAAGAAGAGAAGTAGCTGGATTACCTTAATGGTTTAGTGGATTAAAACTATGACAATGGTATGACCCATTTACTTTATGGGGATGAACTAACAAGAAGTCAAAAGATCAGAATGTTCCTATCCACTCTTTGGAACACCAGTTCAGCAGATAGAGCCAGGAACATGCATATAAATGTTTGCACTCTGACCATTCCCTGCCCCAATTTTAGGTACAGTATACACCATGGCCCCTTGATTACTGCAAGATATCATTTTTTAAAGGGGAATAATTAAAAATTTGTTATAGTCTCTTATTCACTATACTTGATTGTGTTACAGCTTGATTATGTCATAGCATCATCCAATTATAAAAAATTACAATGATTAGCCTGAGATGTTAACACATCATGATTTCAGACATTTCACCCTCATCACCTTGACAGCTGCCTACTTGTTATTTTTATAGCAGACTGATCTCATTCATTACATCTTGGTTTTTCCTAATTTCATTTTCTAAGGTATTCATCTTATAGTTCTAAGGGTGCCGTGTGTGTGTGTGTGTGTGTGTGTGTGTGTGTGTGTAAGTTAGGCATTGTGAAAGCTATGTGGATGCTAAGAACCTCTCTACTCACAGGAGATATTAAATAAGAATAGCACTGAGGATGAGTGCTGTCATTGCTTTGACCTTTGAAGGGTCTGTGCCTAGAATCTCACAGGATGCTCACTTTATCAGAGAAATGAATAGTAGAACACATATCCGTAGTGTGTTGGGTCATAATGTCCTGCATTATGAGTGTCCAGACCTGCATTTTATTTAAGTAAATACATCAAATATTTATGAAGCACCAGCTATGTGCCAGGAACTGTGACAAGCATTGGTGATACCATGGTGAACAGGAGAGACCTAATCCTCGCCCTCGAAGTTTCTAGTCTAGCGCGGAAGACAGTCATTAAACAAGGATATACAGATTTGAAGGGTAATCCAAAAGAGTAGGTAGCAGTGCTGTGGAAGTGTAGAGGAAAAAGACCTAAGCCACCCTCCTAGGGAGAGGAAAATGTCTCTTCCTGAGAATAAATCAGCCAGGTAAAGATGGGTGAAGAGAAGACAAGTTGAACATTGGGATCTCATAGTAGATGGTCAAAGTGCCTGTTATTTTTGGAAATCAGTGATTCTCAGGCATTGACAAACAAAACATTTTTATGCCACTGGAGAACCTCTAGGAGTGAGATCTTGTTACAACACGCTAAGAAGGTAGATCGAGACTCTCATGGCTCAAGGATATTGCTTCTAGCTCCGAGCTGCCTGTCCAGGCACAAATCAACTTCTCTTCTTTCTCACTGAGGAGGCATTATATGTTTTTCCCTCCCTCAATGTGATTTCTCTTTCAGCTACACCCATCTAGCAGTGACACTATAGAGCACAGTGTTTCCTAAAATGTGATATGAGGAACACTGGTATAAAAAGATTACTTTAGGTAGAACAAGGACAAACTTATTAATAGTTATGCATTTATTTTTACAAATTCCTTCTCTCTAAATAAATTCAATTAATACTAGCAAGTCAACTTAAAGAAATATATTGAATAAATAAAAATGAAACTACACTTGGATAACATCATTATACTCGAGGTGCTTCAAACCAATTATTTAACCTTTCTGTACCTCATATTTTTCTTCTGTAAAATGAGAATTATAAGACTGTCTCACGTATAATGGTGAAATGAAAATGTCCTTAAGCCATAGGTGAGTTTCTGGTACTTAGTAGATTTTTAGCAAGTGAAATTTTCTTTTTCTTCCCTTTCTTGCTGCCAACATACTGACCTTTCTACTGTCATTCCTATCTGGTCTGTATTATTAAAGATAAAATGTAAAATGCTGCCCATTGACTGTATTTCCAATTAAAAGCTCAAGATAATCTTACTACCATCACGCATTTATCTAAGGCTAGGCTAGATACATAGATACTTAGACATAGACATAAATAAATACACATATATGCCAGTACCAAAGAAGTGTTAAAGACTGGAAATCCCTTTTTTGCACTAATAATCATTAGGCAGACAGACAGCTTTGATGTCATCACGATAAAGGTTATTTAATAGACTATGAGTTCATCTTGTTTTATTTCTCTTTAGGTGAAAAGGAGCAGAGGCTTTTAAACTAGAATAGAGGTTGGCTTTCAGTTCCACCATTTAAAAGCTGTGTGACACTGATCATATAACTGGACCCTTCTGAGCCTCAGTTTCCTCATCTAATGATACCTGCTACCTAACAAGACATGGGTAAAGAAGTAGAGACAATGAATGTGAGGAAGAGAACACTATACCTTGCCTGGTCTGGCTTAGCCTATGTGTGGACCAAGAAAAGGGCCTCAGGTGGAAAGCTGTAGGCTCTTGCAAGAGGTTGGGGGTCAGTACAGACAGAAACTGTGGGTACCCAGGGGATGTGGACCCGGGGTCACCACGTAGCATTTTGGCATGTTAGATATGATTTGCTCCATTACGCTATCATGGCCCTTGGTTTGTATCATTCCTGCCTCTTGTTATAAGTATTTGTATGTAATCAGGAAAGAAATATTAAATTACTAATTGTCTTAGCATGGGTTGTCCCAGAAAGCAGAGCCAGAGGAAAATGTTTCTGGGCAATGACTTTATCAAGAAGTGCAAACCCAAAAAAGCAGGAGCAGTAACAAAAGGAAGCAAAGCAGGGAAGCCAAAAGCCAAAAGCACCAGCACAAGATACATCTCGAAGCTGGCCGCTAGTACGTGTGAACTGATTGCTTAATCTCCAAGGACCATCCTCCAGGAGGCTGTATAAACCAAGTGCCTCAGGACACTCCACCAAGAGATGGAAAAGAGCCTATCTACTAGTTCCTTTCTCTCATCATCAAAAGTTCATTTGACAGGGACTTGGGTCCCCTACACATCTGCCAAGCACGTGGCTGGGCACTACCGCAGCAGGTGACACCTCAGCCTTAAAAGAGATGCCCAGTGCTGTAGGTGAGAGATGTGTGGCTGGGGCACAAGATGAGGGTCTGTCTGTGGGTGCATGAGGTTGGCCTGAATCTCATCTGTGGCCGGGCTGGGACTAAAGGTTCTGGAGACGAGTGAGAATGAGAGGATCTGAAGAGGCGTATTAAAGGTGTCTGAATCACCAACTGAAATAACTTACTAGGCACTACACAGTCCTCACATGGACCCACATATCATGCTAATAAAACTATCCTGAAAGACTGTGAAGAATCCCCACAGTGGCTTACGAATAAAAATCAGCTTTGTATTGTGAAAATCCGGTACATCAAACTGAAAACAAAGGAAACTGAGTAGATAGGGGTATTTTTTTCCACAATGCCTCATCTCAGTGAACACACGTCTCTGAGGAGCCGGAGATGTACTGGAAGAATGAAACGAAGAAGGAAAATAAACTGAGTGAAGCAAATCTAAATGAGTTTACAAGTCAGGAAACCTTGTTACTATCAGTGAGATAAAGGAAAGGGGTTCTCTGGTTCACCAAAGAGATACCCTATTAAGAATTTTTACCATACGACCCAGCAATCCCACTACTGGGCGTATACCCTTAGAAAACCATAATTCAAAAAGAGTCAAGTACCACAATGTTCACTGCAGCTCTATTTACAATAGCCAGGACATGGAAGCAACCTAAGTGTCCATCGACAGATGAATGGATAAAGAAGATGTGGCACATATACAGAATGGAATATTACTCAGCCATAAAAAGAAAGGAAACTGAGTTATTTGTAGTGAGGTGGATGGACCTAGAGTCTGTCATACAGAGTGAAGTAAGTCAGAAAGAGAAAAACAAATACGTATGCTAACACATATATATAGAATCTAAAAAAAAAAAAAAAGTGGTTCTGAAGAACCTAGGGGCAGGACAGGAATAAAGACGCAGATGTAGAAAATGGACCTGAGGACACGGGGAGGGGGAAGGGTAAGCTGGGACGAAGTGAGAGAGTGGCATGGACAAATATACACTACCAAATGTAAAATAGATAGCTAGTGGGAAGCAGCCGCATAGCACAGGGAGATCAGCTCGGTGCTTTGTGACCACCTAGAGGGGTGGGATAGGGAGGGTGGGAGGGAGACGCAAGAGGGAGGAGATATGAGGATATATGTATGTGTATAGCTGATTCACTTTGTTATAAAGCAGAAACTAACACACCATTGTAAAGCAATTATACTCCAATAAAGACGTTAAAAAAAAAAAGAAATTTTAGCTGTTTTAATGTATTTCTACTTGTCAAGTTCTATGATGCACTAATTATAAGTGTATGCAGATTTTTTATATACTTTTATGACATATGCATTAAAGAGGCAGAGGCATGTCAAGGAAAGCGGATGCTCCAAATCTTTATAGGTGCTGTTCTGGAAGGGAGGCAACATGAAAAAGAGGAACGTTGGAAAAACATGAGTAGCGGGAAGAATGAAAAAGAGGAATGTTGGAAAAACATGAGTAGCGGGAAGAATACAGACCTGTGTAGATATTGTTCAAAGGAGGAGAGAGGATATGTGCTTGACTTCAATTTCTTTATAGTCATCAGCTCTCTATTTTTTTTGATCTGGATACTGTTGATTACATTTAGGTATTGATGAAAATGTCAATGAGACATTTTCTAAAATCACACAGTATTATTTTAAAAGGAATTATTTTACTTTAAAGAAAATATTTTGTGTTAATATGTCCCTTGAGAAACATTCTCATTTAAATTCTACACCTTGTGAAGAAACTGAATTATTGAGTTGTTCCAAATCTGCAGAAAATGATCTGAAAGTTTTATAATTAATATATAACAAAAAGGTGTTGCTAAAATGCATTAAAGAATTATATAAAAGACTAAACATAAAGCACAAAACAATGAAGATAGTGCAAACTTTTTTTAAAGCAACAAATACTTTTCAATTTATGGAAGAACAGCTGTGTAAACTACTACAGAATCCATGGTCTATGTAGTCATACCACTGAGGCATGTTCTTGAAGATAATGCTTGGTTATAGTCAGCCACAGCTTCATCAATCAGACCTATTTTACCACGAACTTCTGCTCTAAGATTATATACTAGAGCATCATTAGGTTTCAAAGAAAGAGCTGTAAAAGAAAAAAATTTCAAGATATGTTTTATGCTAGCACTCAAAAAGCTTCACTTTTTTAAATAAAAAATTTATAATATAAGAACTTTAGTATTATCTATTTGAAAACATTTTTCCTCATATGTACCTAATTATTTAGTTAAATTTAAAACACTGAATCTTTCTAAGAAAATTAACTTGGGAAAACACAGTACAATGTCTTTTTTGAAAGGCTGCCAATGTTTATGTATGGTTTCCCTAATAATTTTCTATGTCTTAGCTTACCAATGCTGTAAGTTATTACATAAAGGAATCCATACTGATTACATTAAAGATATGATATAAAAAACCATTAATTCTAATGTTTATCTAGGCAAATAGACTTGATGATTTTCTTCCTTTGTCATCAAAAACAAACAAATCAACCATTATAATATTAATCAAAAAATTACAAAAAAATATACCTTTACTTAGGTCTTCTTCAGCTAGTTCATATTGCTTTAAACAACAGTAGAAGTATGCTCTGTTAAAATATACTGCAGCCCAAAATGGACAGCTTTCAACTACACGTGCAAAGTCTTCTTTTGCTTCTTCATATCTCTTTAATACTGTATTTGCAATAGCTCGATTCATGGTAGCACATTCATTTTCTGGATCAAACTTTAAAGCCTTTGAGAAGTAGTCAATAGCCTATAAAAATGCGAAGATAATGATAATCTGAATATATTTTAATTGGCAGCTATACAGCAACTTGAAACACTTTTAATATAAAACTAAGGCCAGTGGCACACTGAGGAGATAGTGGAAGCATTTCATCCCAGATACAGATGATAAGGAGGTGCCAGCATCTGTAGAGAATGTAAAAGACGATAATAAAACCAACCAATAGTTGTTCTGCTTTTTGTTATCACCATGTGTCAGCAGTTTTAGACAGTGTCAGAGATAAAATACTCTCTGCTGAGGTGAAATGTTCCACTACCACCTCCCCCTCCCCCACTACACACAAATCTCACAACCCTGTACAGCACTAGAAAAAAGTAAAATACAAGTTAGAAAAGAAGGTCACACAGGAGGATAAATGTAAGTTCGAAAATTAACATTTTTCATATAAAAGCAGAGTAAGGGCTAGAGAGAGAAGTGAATTTTGAAAATAAAGTTCTAAACCTTACCAAAAGAGATTAAAAACTCCGTTATACTATGAAAAGCTATGAAGGAAGGAAGACAGAAGATTAAAATCAGCTTGTCAAGATGATCAAAAACTCTAGATGACAACTCGTCATCAAGCCGGAAGGGACCCTCCAAATTGTGGTCCATCGACTGGTGTTGGGGTCTTGATCAACAGTAAGTTAGAAAATTTTAAAAAACTGGTCCTTCATCACACATAGCTTGAGATGCCAATTAGACACCCTACGACTCAAGGTAGGAATCTCATCTCTAACTCTATGATGGATGGAAAATGTGCCTCCTACTTTAAAACTTCCCTAAAGGAAAAGTTGTTTTTAACAATATGGCTTGCTGTCTCCAATTCCTTACCACTCGACTTTTCCCCAGTACAGCACAGTCCGGGTTCTATCTACCTCCCCCTAGCCCGTGAGGTCTGCTCTTGCTAAGGCTGAAGATGTCATCAAGCCCAGTAGGCATTTTCTAGTCCTTTCTTTCCATGGCATTTCTGTGGCACGGACGCTCTTGGTCTCTCCTTCCCTCTTAAAACTCTCTCTGTCCTTGAGACAGGGTGTCTCCCTAGTTTTTCCCCTACCTCTCTGATCATTTTCTATCAGTCTTCTTCATGGAACTATTTTTCTCTATATTTCTCAGGGATGTGTCCTCAGTTCACTTCCATTGTGGGTGAAGTGAAACATTGAGAGCATGGTGGCCAGGAGCCCAGACCATGGGGCCAGATTTCTAGGTTCAAACCCTGGCTCTACCACTTATTAGCTCTATGTCCTTTGGTGAGTAACTAAATCACTCTGACTCGATTTTTCTTGTCTATAAAATGGAGGCAACAAATCGAACCCTACTTTCAGTGCTGCTATGAGGATTAAGTGAGCTGACAGGTAAAGTACTGAGAACGATATGCAGAATATAGTAAGGACTCAGTCAATTATTATTGATACATCATTTTTTTTTGCCAGTGTCTACAAATGGAGAGATGTCATAGCCCTCAGGTAATACTCCATGAATTTTACTGCCTGAGACTTTTGAGAAGCAATTAGATCAAGATTGTGTGACCCATCTCATCCCAGAATGGGAGCTATTCTATGCTGTAGTTAAGTGCAATTTAAGGATCCCTTAAGATGGCAGCAGAATTGACACCCCTCTGTGAAGAGCTTAAATTAAAGAGAATTCACTCCTGAACAGGAGGCTGGACTCACAGTCATTATAAATGAGGCAAGGGAATGACTCGAAGCAGAGCCAAGATTTCCTTCAAAAATTAATTTGTTTCATTTTAATTCACCAGTAAATGATCAATAAAGGCTACACAATTCTACATCACAAAAGCATGACTTGCAATCAGGTAGGAGCAAATGCCTACCTCAGCTAAAATAAATGAACTTAGTGAAACACAATAGTATGGTTAACTCTGAACAATGTAACTTTCTATTATAGCTTTGAAAACATATTACTTAGAAAATGAAAGCCTATAAATTTAATGAGGTTACTTGAAGAACAGGAGCATTAACTATGAAGTAGTTAGAGGCCAAAGATGCCTACCACAATAGATGGCCTTGATTTAACAATTGGTCTAATGCCCTCGTATCTGTAAGTAATTAGGAAGCAGATCCAGGTATTTTTTAAGTCACCTGTAATTCATGACACATGCATGTAGCTCATCCAATTGTGGTTTAAAACCATTAAGTCACTAACCAACCATAAAAGAAGCCAGAACACACACATGTTTTAACCCTTTAGAGATTATCTGGTCTGTTGAGGGACCCTTCCTTCTGGCCCTAAATCTTCTTTCCATACATCAGAAACAAAGCGGGAGGGGGAGGATGGACAGGAAATAGAAGAATTTGCTCCACAAAGAAGCATAGAGCATACCAAAATAGCTGAATAACTACTCTCAAAGTCTGCTTGTCTCTGAAGGGAGCACATACTGCAAAGCCCGAGTATCCAGTATATCAAGACAGAGAGCGGAATACATTTTAGATCAAATATTTGCCCAGCTGATGTGTCCCCAGCTTGGGGGAGCAAGAGCCATACTTAAAAAAAAAAAAAAAAATCAAAGATCAAACTACACTTTAGATCTAACCAAATAGTTTTATACATGATGTCCATAGAGTGATTTAAGGACAAATAAGTTTAAATGTGGGGGTCTCCCTCTCATGTGGACCTTAAACACTGATAGAAACAGAAAATTGCCCTGGGCACTGTGTTTGTCTAATGCTCGTTAACTAACTCTACAATGCAGAGAAACATTGCCAAGACCCAGTCAGAGTGTGGTCTGAGCTTGAGGAAGTTTAAGGCAACTGACCCTGGCCTGTCAGCCTAGGAAAACATTAGCCTCCCAGCTGTCTGAGGTCTGAGCTATGACAATCTCATTCATGCCTTATATAATAATACCTTTGATTCTCTGTCCCAGCAGCTAGCTTCACCACTGAGGTCAACCAGCCTCATCACAGGGGTCAGCAAGCTAACTGATCTAACTTGGGAAACAGCTAAACTAAGGCAATGGCAGTAGAAATAGAATGGAAAGGGCCTATCTGAGAAAAAAACTAAGAAGGAAATTTGACAGGATTAGATGACTGATTAGATGAAGAAGTTGAGGAAGAGAAAGTTACAACTGATGCTAATATTTTTACTCAGGTGACTCCATGGAATGACATCTTGAAATGAGACAGGGTTATACGAAGAAGAGCTGGACGGGGCATAGAGGATAGAGAGATTAATTCAGTTTTGGCTCTCATGCACTTGTAAAACATCCAGTTTTAGCAACTGGTGATAAATATGGGTTAGGAGCTCAGAAGAAAGGTGGAGGCTGACATGTAGTATAAGCCATGGGTATAGATGGACTTTCTGAGTAAGGAAATATGGAGAGAAGAGAAAGCAGTGTGATTCCTGGCATTAAAGAGCTTAACTGGAATGAGGAGATAAGAGACTAACACACAGAAACAAGTGTGGAGTGACAGAAAGCCGTACTGAATCTGTATAGAAATAATTATATACAAAGCAGTATGGAGTCAAGATCTCACTTTAAATTTAATCACAACCTCAAATGAGAACTTGAAGTTGTCTGGTGGTTCTACTATACTTCCCTAGAACATTCACCCTACCACTCTCTAAAATAATTATTTCACATTTTCTCTTCAAAGCTCCTAGCCATACTCTCCCCCTTTATACCTGTCCATCCTCACTCTTAACTGGTAACTGGTACTCATATTCCATGGAAAAAATGTAATCATTTAAGAGAAATACCTACTATCAAAATCTACCTAGCTACAGCCAGCTGTGCCCCAACTCTCTGCCTTCCCTCATAACATAATGGACAGTGTGTCCTGCTCCCTTCAAAGGCCACCCCTGGAACTTCCAAACTTTAGCCCCAACAAATCCTCAAAGATTGTGCTCCTAATTATCCCTGCCACTCTCCCCTGCACCAACAATTTCTCCCTTTCTACTAGATCCTTTCATTAACACAGGAGCATGAATCAGCATCCCTCATATTTTAAAAAATTAAAAATATGAACACCTTACTCCACTCTAGCCACCACCCCCATTTCACTACTTCTCTTCACAGAAGAATTTTTCAACTCGTTGAACAGTCTCGAATTCTTCACCTCACATTTTCTCCACAACCCTTTCTGCTCAAGGCTCTGATGCCATTGAGACTCCAACAATGTTCTTGCCAAAGTCATCAATGATTTTCTCCATCCTCCCCCCTTCCTTGACTTCTCAGCAGCATTTGACACAGGACACATTTCCCTTCTTAAAGTACTTTATTCTTGAGGTGATATCATGCTCTCCTGCTTTCCTTCCCAACATCCTGACTGGATACTCCCCACTCGGTCTACACTCTGGAGTCTCCTCTCTACTTCACTTCCAAACACTGGTATTGCCCCAGGGCTTGCTCCTTAAACCCCTTCTCTCCATCTATTCTATCCACCCAGGTAATCTCATGTAGTCCCACACTGTATGCTAGTACTGATATAAAGATGCTTAAATAAGATGGTATTAGATATTTATCACTACTAATATTGTTTATTTTCTATTTCTTCCTCCAATAAAATGTAAGCTACATCATAAAAGAAGTCTTCTTTATCTTGTTTAGCTCTGTATCCTCAGGGTCTTAATTCCTAGCACATGGCAGGTACATTGTAAATATAAGGAGATTGAAAGAATGAAGAACTAAGTGGAATCAGGAAATATCTTCTCAGCTTTTCCAGCAAAATACAGACAAGGACTTTAGCCTCTCGGTAGATAAATGTGCCCCAAAGATCATTTTTAAGGGGTATGGTGACAGTATCGGGTGTTAGAGGAGAATACAGAGGTTACAGATCTCAGAAAATGCAAGCAATAAAAACAACTTTTTAAAATGAGAATGCTATCTTAGAAGCAACGACTGTGAAAAGTTCTGAGAAACACAGAGCTTGTGGTAGAAGCCTTCCCAAACCAGGCGAGGCTAGAAAGGACATACTGTAAAGTCCTGTGCAATAGCATCAGTGGTAGCTCAACTTGGAAAGTTACCATGGCCTATCACCGTATCTCTCACAAGAAAATCTGCTATTAGTCCAGGAAAAAAAAAAAATTATCCCATTCAAATATAAGGAACAGAAAAGTAATTTGCATGCCTTCATTGTAAAAAACAAAGATAAAAAAGTAAGAGCTTAATTTTTGAAAAGATCATAAAAACTGCCCAGAAAAAAATGTATTCCTACAATGTAGATAAAAATTATAATGTAACATTATAAAATAAACTAGAAAAAATTGTTAAGGGAGAAACTGCATTTAAGAAATAAATAAATAAATAATAAAGGAGCTTAGAAAAAGGATCTTCCCGGCCAGGAAGATATGTCACGGAAATGGGACAGAACTAAAAAAAAAAGTTTTAAAGAAACCTGGATCATAAGGTCAACAAGGGAATAATAGAAAACACAGTAAAAATTTAGGGGATGCAAAAGAAAATGAAACAGATGTTAAAAGATAAACATTTGAAAAAAATAATTGGCATATAGGAGTCAAAAGACGTCCTATTTATAATCATTGGTATTCGTCCCCAATGAAGAAAATCAAAACAATGAAATAGAGAAAAATATTTACACTGAATTCAACAAAGATTTTCTGAAATCTACATATTGAAAATGCACACTCTGTACTTGATAACTTTGACCCCAAAAGCTTAACTCTAACACATACTTTTAAGTAAAAAAACTTTTCACTTATGGGCTTCCCTGGTGGTGCAGTGGTTGAGAGTCCACCTGCCGATGCAGGGGACATGGGTTCGTGCCCCGGTCCGGGAAGATCCCACATGCCACGGAGCAGCTGGGCCCGTGAGCCATGGCCGCTGAGCCTGCGCGTCTGGAGCCTGCGCTCCACAACGAGAGAGGCCACAACAATGAGAGGCCCACGTACCGCAAAAAAAGCCAAACCAAAACAAAAAACTTTTCACTTAAAAAAAATAAAAACTTTGGTTATCCTGACAAAAAGAAGTCACCAATAACGAAAATCAGGTTTGCATCAGGCTTTTGACACCAACATATGCAACACCAAAAAAATAGTGAAACAGCACTTACAAAACACTCAAGGAAAGAAAAAATGAGTCAAGGACTCTGAACCCAGACGTGCTGTCATAAGATATAAAGGCTGCAGGCTAACAGCTGTGAACGTGAAACAATTCAAGGAATATTGTTCTCATGAACCCTTTCTCAGGACTCTACTAGAAGACTAATTTCAGACCACAAAGAAATGATTGGTTAGGAGGGAAACTTTGGCAAAAAGCCTGGTGATGAGAATTAAATATATTTAACTGAAGAACTAAGACTAAACGTGAAATGAAGGTAACAAAATAGTATATGCAAATATTAAATCCTCTGGCAGTGTAGGAATGATGAAACACAATAAAACGGAAGAATACAGAGAGAGTGGAAAGCAAGCTGACATGACAAGCTGACAGAACAAGCTCAAGCACATTTAAGGATATAAATATAAACATTTTTCAAAAGAGCGTAATACTAACTAAAATTGACTAATAGATGAGAGGGAGAAATAAGGGAGGAAGAGATTAAAGGGTCATTTTATTGTTCTTCATAGAAGAGAACTAAAGAAATAAGGAAGTAAGGGTACAAGGGTGTTTTTATAAAGGTCATCACTAAAGCAAACTGTAAACCTTCCTAAATATTAGAAAAACTCTGAAATTTTAAAATAAAACAGACCACAGAATAAAATACTTTAAATACATGTAAACAGAAAATATGATATAAAATAACAGAACTAAGACCAAACATATTGACCGTGCCAAAATGTCAATGGGATATAACCCACCTATTAAAAGATAAATATTTTCAAATTGTCATCTAAACCAAAATCCAGCTCTATGCTGTATAAAAGAGACACAGCTAAAACAAAAGATCCTAAACACTGAAAATAAAAGGAAGGACAAAGGACTATCAGGCAAAAGCAAACCAAATGAAATCAGAGGTCAGGATCTTCACATCAGATAAAGGAGAATTTATTCCAAAGAGAAACAAAGAAGAGCATTTGTAATGCTGAAGACTACAATTCACAACACAATGCATATGTAATATGTATGAACATCTATACATGAAATAGCAGCAATTTTCATAAAGCAGACATTACAAGAGATGTAAAGAAAACTATCTAGGGCCACACTAATTATAGGATACTTGAATAAACCTTTCTCTGTCCAAGATAAACCAAATTAAAAAGAAAAAAGTATGGATATAGACTAATTATACTCCAATATTAGAAAATATAAAAGCCCTTCCTCTTGAACATTTTAAGTGCCCTATTAATTTATTCTTTAGTCAAAGGAGAAATAAAATTTCAAGTGCAATGTTTTGGGAAAACAAAAATAAAAACATTAAAGAGCAAAATACAGGGGATACTGCTGAAAACAGTACCTGGGGAAAAAGCATAACCTTAACAATTTATCACAATATAAATGAAAGGGTGACAATAAATGGATTAAGCTTCTGACTCAAAAAGACAGACAAAGAACAAAATAAAATTGAAGATGAACAAAAGAGTGAATATAGATTTAAAAAAAACAAAAAATAGCGTTTGAGTCATGCAATGCATTACAGTTCAAATAAAATAAATTCAAAATATAAAAAATATCATCTAATAGCCCAACACTTTCATTTCAGCCATTCTGAATTAAGGTCCAAAAAGATTAAGTTATCATGAAAACCAGAACTAACAGACATATCTCCTTACTCCAGTCAAGTGCTCATGTGACTGAAACTTAGCAAAGGTAGAAATTAAGACGAGTTAGACAATCACATCACAAAAGAGAGTCTGGAAGGAAGTCTGACATTTGGCTAAGTGGGGGCAAAGAGCAGAGGATTCCAGGCTGGAAGCTGGTGACAGTGGATATAGCAAGGCGACTGCCGGCACTCAGAGAAGTCCAAAACAATGTTTACTGGACAAGTGCTGAGTGGCTGATGATAATGAGGAGAAAAAATCCATAGAGGTGTAAACATTTAATAAATAATTATAAACATTTTTATGAAAGAGAAAAAAATTTTCAAAGAGCTAATGAATAAATTAGCCTGACATATAAGGATTGCATTTTGAAACTATATGTAGCAGAGAAAGCATTTACGGTCAAAAAGAAAATGTTAATGAAAACTCACATTACCTGGGAAAACTGTCTGTGGTGAAAATAGATATTTCCTGCATTAAAGTAAGCCAGCGAGTACGTGGGGTTTAGAGAAATTGCTGCTTGATAGTCTCTCATTGCATTCTGTTGTTGACCCATAAACTCATGAATCACACCACGATTTGTTAAGAATTCTGCTCTAGTATTGATCTGCAATATAATAGTATGAGTATTTAGCATCTGGGAATAGTACTTATCTCCAACTTCATGTCTGCAAAAATGGACGTTATGAAATCTCTTTGTGGGAATCTAGTAATTTTACAGGGCAGGTGAAACCCCATTAGAGCAAATATTTTGAGAAACAACTCCGAATGAAGTTGGTTCAGTGTCAACACTTTATTTGGTTGCAATAAAACAAATAATCTTAGTGCTCTACTCAGTTCCTTTGCAAAGAATAGATGTAAGGGGAAAAAAGCTCATCTGTTTAGCTCTGTTAAAGATTACAGCATCTACCTAAATTTACAAAAAAAGAATCCAAAATCTAGAAGAAAAAAGGCAGATTTTCTGTCACTGCATTTTTTATTTGCCATTTCACTACAGAAGAAGCTGGGGATTTACACTATTCTTTCTTTAGTTCCTTCAAACCCAGAACGTTATTTTATTTTTTGCATTCATTTTTTATTACACAATAATACTGATGTATCATGAAACTATAAATTTGCATTTACTGAGAGGAATCAACATTTATTAGGGATCTGTTTTTAACTTTTTTAAATGCATTAGGTTATAAAACTGGTAAGCTATAATAACTCTTTAGGAATCTCCTGGGGAAAAAATACAAATATTATTTTCTCTACAAGTCACTTTTAGAAAGCAACAGAGAACTTATTTGATCTTACTCACTGATGATGTTAATTTAATGCTAATGATAATATAATCTGAGTGGATTTTTACCTTTATGGCAGCATTTATATCCTGAATTGCAGCAAAATTATCACCCATCTGAAGAGAGACCACAGCTCTTCCTTCATAGGCTAGGTAGCTCTTCGGGTCAACTTCTATGGCAATGGTAAAGTGGTTCCAAGCTTTCTGGAATTTTCCTTGGGCCTAAAATAATTTTCCATTTACACCAAGTAGGAAATTGTCCATATCATGACAAATGTTTATGATCCTAACTTAATCAAATAAAGCCTTTAGTAAGGGTATATTTATATTGTGCTTAATCTAAGATATTTTAAACAAGGAAGTAGGCTGTACTGTGAGTGCATTCAATTGACTGATTACCTCTGAGCATTTATGCTGAAATTTTAATTAACTGAAATAAATCTAATTGTCAGAGCCATCTCTTATACCAGTCTTGAACAACGTAAAATCTTGACCACGACGGGAAACACCAATGCTTCTGACAATCACCACAAATTTTACACTGAGCTCTGCACACACAGGCAGGAATTGTCTATTTGCTTGGCATTGAATCTCCAGTTATACATACTATACATAATAAAATAAATATGTGTTGAATAAGTAAATGAATAAACTGATGGTATAAAACCTATTTGATAAATTGTACCAGCATCACACATTCCATGAAAACTGCATGCAAATCTACCAAGCAGGTGTTTACACCAACCTTAGCGCCAAGTGGAAAAAAAGAAAGAAGGTTAGGAGAGGACACTGTTAACAGAATGATATCAGAGTATTTCCTAGAGAAGGCCATTTGGCAACTAAATACCTCATCACAGGAAGGCAGTGAGTTGATAAATTCAGCACAGTCCAGGGACTGTCCTTTATTCCTGTGGGTTCAAAATCCCAACTTGCCAGAGCCTCAGAAGCGGACTCGCACATAAACCAAGCAAGCCCAGTGACTCTTGCATAAAACGAACACGAAATATAACTAATAAGTTAACTAGACATTGTTCTTTAACCAGTAAAGCTTCTCCCTCACAGTAAATTATGTGGAAACCAACATCGAATTGAACAAGGAATTGAACTTGTCTGTTCTGACAACAATTGTTTTGCTCACTTCCATAACTCTAGTGGTAGGCACATAGTAGGGGAATCTGTTTCATATTTGTCCAAGAAATGGTCACTCTTCCCCCGAACAGGATTTGATGGGCCTCTCTAACTCTGCTTTTTCAGTCCTTCCTTTCCTGATTCAAGTCTTCCTCACACTAATGTGTTTTTCAATCCTCCTTCAGGTTGATATATATCAGTGAAATCTTCATAAAACACAAATCTGATGTCACTGCTCTGGTGAGTGACATTCACAGTTTTCACTGACCTGGACCAGTTAAAAAGACCTTCACCTCCAGTCATTACTCAATTCAGTCGCATCCCATACCACTCTCCCCTTGTCCATAACATTCCATCCCCTTGAGCCCTCTGTCTCTTTCTCACAGGACTTTATAATGGGCTGTTCCCTCTCTCTGGAACACAGTGTTCTAAGCCCTAACTCCTAGTCCTAATTCTAGTCTTTCACACCTCAGTTTAAATGTTAATTTCTCAAAAAGCCTTCCCTCACCCCTAAAATGAAGCTAGGTTCCCTGGTTATAAGTTGTCCTAAAACCCATCCTTTTTCTTTGTTGCACTTATCCTGAATAGAATTAAATAATTATTAATAAGACTGCTTGGTGCTTATCTCTCCAGTAGGTAGTAAACTCTACAAGAAGAACCAGCGCATTTTGGGCACTGCTGTATCACTAGGCCTAGATCAGTTCCTGTCCTATACTAGGTGCTCAGTAAATCCTTGTTGAAGGCAATGAATGATGCTGTTAACACATTTCTTTTGATTACAGTAAGCTCTAGCTGTTTTAGGAGTCACCGTCTCTAAATTGACTTTGCAAATTTCTACTGTGATCAAATAATGGCTAATTTTATGTTTAACACTCATAAGGCAATCTTACTTCCCTTATTAATCAGTTCTTGGGCATACCTCACTATAACCAAACCCACAACCACCTCCAATATTATTAATCTTAGGTCAGCCAAATTCACTTACTTCTAAATGAAAAAAATTCAACTTTAATGACAGATTATTAATAGGAATTTCTGCAAATTACCATAATTTAAACATACTTTGGACCACTGTTTAAATTTTTTAATATTAAAAGGGATAAAAAGATTATTCCTTTCCTTTTCATGGAAAATATAACACATCTAGCACTTTATTCCACGAATACCACTACATCTTTTGTTAGTGCACATAGCTCGGTGAGTGCATGGGTCAGGTCAGAGTGTCCCAGAAATCACTCAGAGACCTGTGTGACAACACAACAGAGCAACACCCTTCCAACTTGCTGGAAGGACAAATGCCTGGTCTCCTGCCTTCCGGTATGTTCTAACTCACTGTCATTTGGAAGATGACCTGAATTCAGAAATCTCTATGCAGTGGTTGTCTGATCCATCGCACAGATCATACATTGCTTATTCCCTTTAGCTTTTCACTAATTTAATAGGCCAAAACCTATGGAGCCCAGGTATAAGCTAGTGAAACAAATTTTAGCCAGGTTCTTATATGTGAAACTCATCAGGCAAGTTTAAAAGTTGTCTATAAGTGTGGTAGGTATAAGGGGGTGAGGTAGAAAAGGGTGCAGGCGTTAAGGAAACTCAAGTTCAGAAGATCCTCATCTCACTATCACGCCAGGTCCCTGGGTATGCTCTCCAGGCAGGCTGCCTATAACTCATCAAACCCCTGCTTCTCACTGCTGCTCTGAATACGAATAAGAAAAGAAAGGTAAAATGTTCATAGCCAAAGAAATATCATGTATCCCCATCACCACTAACAGGCCAAATATATTCTTTTTCTTGCCCAAAAGGTGCTTCCGTGGTAAAATGTTGTTATACAATATTACCTGCAAATTATAGCCTAAACAAATTCTGGCTTTTGTATAGACTGGATTAAAATGCAGTGCTTTCAGAAAGTCCTTCTGTGCTTGTTTGATGGCCTCATCATGTCCATATTCCATGTAAGAATTTCCCCGTCCGATGTAAGCATCCAGAAAACAGGGATCAATTTTCACAGCCCAGGTAAAGAAATTGACAGCTTCTTCAAACTCTTTATTTCTGAAAACAAATTAAAATATTGATGCTTTCTGGTGAATAATCTAACTGCTTTCCTGTATATAACCTCTTCATAAAGAAATGCATTGACCCTTAAAAAACTTTTTATTATTTTTTATTATCATAAGAACTAATTGTGTAAGTCCATATGACCTAAGGAAGCCTGATGGATTCTTTAAAGATATTGGTAAAAGGAAAGAGGGGAGGTAAGAGACATTTTTATAGCAGAATATGTTGGGATGACATGCTAGAGTTCTTTTTCAGAATTATAAAAATCTGAATGGCCTTCTTGAACCTGTTTTTAACAGTTATCAGTGGCCAGTATAGAAAGACATATGCTATTATTTATAAAATACACTATTTAAATCAGATTAAAATAAATCCATTGTCATTTATTCAATATGTCCTTTATAATGAAAGGAGCTAAATTTTTATCACATGGGAGTTCTTACTTCAGATCTTCTATAAAGGCAGCCCATTTCATCTTGGACACCAAGAGAGGAGGGGAGAAAAAGAAGTAAAATGCATTTTATTTATTAACTTGTGAATATATGTGACTAAATGATAATTCTGTCTCTCTATCTTCCTTAATTAGTCTCCTATGGTGAGGAGAGGGCTGTTGAAGGAATCGAATATTCCCATGTCCATGGGTATATAAAGTCACTTTTCCACTTCACGTGCATATCTAATAATTATTTTTAATATCAATTAATATGGAGAGTCTAGAATTTTTTTTAATAGAATGAAGGCACTAACACTGAATAACTGCTTACTTACCAGGTACTGTGCTAAGTGCTTTACATATGTGATTTTACTTAATCCTTCCAACATTTCTGTAAGCTTGTTATAATTTTTTATATTTTATAGATTAAAAGAATATCATGGCTCAGAAAAGTTTGCACATAGTAAATAGCATGCTAAGATTGCACTGAGCAAATATCTGGGACTCAAACTCAGGTGAGCCAGACTCCAAAATCCATGCTTTCCCACAGTCATCTCTACCCACATTCTTCACCTTTAACATACTTGTAAATTGGTGCACAAGAGCCAGTGAGCTGATATCTCAACAGTGTAGTCAGAATAAAGCCTTGGAGTTCAAATCTAAGCCCAAACATACAAATTAATAGTAATTTTTCAAAATTGTTAGAAGGATCAAATGACAGCATGTGAAAAACCCTTAGCACAGAGACCCTCCCCCAATAAAGATTATTATCTTCCTTCCATTCTTTTCATTACTTCTCAAAAAGTTTTCAAATTTTTATGAGATGCATCATTACTTTGCTAACTTTTCCTGTGTAAAATACATGGAACACAGGGTAACCGTTCTAGAAACTACCATCTCTTAGATATTACTCATCATTATCTTTTAAAATACTGTTTCCCAAACCTCAGCCCCTCCTTTGTGACAGTTGCCCTATGTTCCACCTACACTATCGTTTACTTAGTATTTTTCTTTAAGTCAAGTTACTCTTTTACTTAAGTGAATCTATTTTTTTAAATAACTTAATTTCAATACCACAAATACAAAATCAGTATCTCATGCCATAAACAGAAGGCAACCATGAAAATAAATAAATATTGGTGTTGGATAGTGTAGTCTGCAGAAAACTAAACCTGAGAGCTGTACCATCTATTACAAAGTGTGGGAAAGATGTTAAAGACTAACTCTTAGCTGACACCTTCTCCTTGGTGTATTCAGAAGGTTTGAGAAAGAATTCACTTTGAAACTGAAAAGCAATTCAGCTGCTCATAATGTGATTCAATATTTTTTTAATGCTTGTGCACACCATGAAAAATAATGGAGTTACTCATGATATTTGCTCCATGTTTTGGCAAACACTACCCAAAAGCATTCACCAAGTATTGTGTCAGAAGATCACCCAAGAATCAACAGTGAAGCACCAGGAAAGCCTGGCCTCTGACGTTACAAACAGGGGAAGGTTAACATTCACATACGTAAGCCAACTGGTATCTTCTGAGTTCACTCTGTGGATTCTCACTAAGAAAACATGGGCTCCCTTCCCTCAAGTAGTTTACAATGAAACTATCCTCCTCCTTCCTCATAACTAGCACTGTTTGAGAAGTAAAAGTTCACTGAATATAAGGTCACAATGCTTGTAGCCACTTTCTCACTGTAGTACAGAAAAAATTCTAGCATAAATAACAAATTTTTTATCAAGAATAATTACACAGTAGTATTCCTGTATAAAAATGCATTTAGTTGATAGGTTTTGTTATGCTCAGTATTTCTATCTATGGATAGTGAACTACTTACTTATGATGCATACCTATGGTGACCATGTAAACTGAAGTTTACAGGGCAACCCCAGCTCTCTCATATTTTTCCCACAAAACATTGAAATGCTTCTGCTATATTTACATCCAAATTGTATCATACACATTGCTCCCCTCTTACGCAGAGGGAGATTTAAAATCCTTGTGAGTACATATGCCGATATATGGTTTATAAAACATAATCTCAACCTTTGAGTAGTCCAACCAATTTAAAAAGAAAAAGAACAAGCAATGAATTGAAGCTATTTTTCTATACATATCTAGTTATCAGCACTAATGTTTAACGAACATCTAGTCTGTTCTGACTAAGTAAATAATCATTAAACCTTAAACCTGGAAAGGGATCCCGAAAGCTACTTGGCAAGCTCTTCAAAGCTGATGATAACTAAAAATCAAGTCCAGAGGAGGTGAGAGAGCCAAAGCCAGCGACTCCCAAACCCCTCCACCACTAGAAAAAAAAGAAAAACTCCATACACACAACAACTTCATTTTTCTGAAGATGTGTGTATCACACAGTGCCCTGCAGGTTGGAGCTCCTGTTAAATAATCACATGGTAGTTAGACAATGAAAAAATGTGGCAGTGTCTCTTATATCAGGATACAGGTTCACTGGCACATAAATTGCTAAACATCAATTACACAAATATAAAAGTATATTAAATTAGTTTTTCTAAAACAAAAAGTGTTTGTATAAATCTAAAATAACATGATCACTGACGGAAGGTGCATGCCTCTCATTATGGTGTCTATTAACTAAGAATCGTGTGCTCAGCTTGCAGGCTAGGCCACGGACACCAAGGCCCACCTCATTTTCCAAATTAATCACATAGGTGACCAGATGTTCCCTACTGAGTTGTACAAATGAATCATAAATACCTCCCAAAACTAAAGAATGTGGCTTGCAGAGTCGAAGATTCAGAAATATTTTATACAAATATAAGAATGGTAAAATAAATGTGCTAAAGTAAAAAATGGACAGAATATGTAACTCTGAGCCACCAGGCTCTCCCTCTGTGACATTTTTTTTTTTAATCTTAAGGTAGCTTTCTCAAAGAGATCTAAAAATTAACTCTACCTTAACACCCTTAGTGATCAAACTGGGCAACAAGTAGGATATTCAGCCTAAGGAATGTTGTCTCCTAGCAACCACAAGAGTGAGAACCAGAGATATACAAAGGCACACTTCAAAAGTCTGCAACCCCACGAGTTCAAAAGATCAAAGCCCTAAACTTTAAAGATTTATTACTTTTTAAAACTTTTCCAAATGGGAGAATTTTTACTTTCTCCACCATAAGACGCCAATAGTGAATCTCATTATTTACAATCCATGCTGCTGTAGTAATAGGTTATAGCTCACCTTGAAAAGTAAAAATATTGTTCCTGAAATAAATGTAACCAATCACTAAACACTCCGTATTGTTAAATTCAGTAAAACTGTTAAAACACATGGAATTGGGACTATGAGTTATCAGAGCTTTACTGTTGATTTAAATTCTACTTTTATTAAAGGACAGTAGAGATTCTAGCGGGATGATGAAAGGTGGTTGTTTGGAATTGCAAAGCAGTATCAGCTTAAGGAGGCTCCACCATATATACCCAGTGATTACATTTCATAAAAGAGATCAGGAACTGACACACAGAGAAATTTACTGACTCTAATAGTTGCAAAACATCGGAATGAGGTTGAGAAAAATTTTGGTGTCTATTTTTAGTTTTAAGAGAATTCAATGACCTCAGACATTTTTGGCCTGCACTCGCCTACCAAAACAAACACATCAGTCATCGTTATTCCATTTCTTTTTAAGAATGACAATTACTTAAAAAGATAAATTGTACAAAGGTTGCTGGATTCAAATAGACAATGGTGTGACTGTGTTTTGCTGTCTGTATAAAATTAAAGGTCCGAGACCAGTTTAGGCCTTTTAACCAAAAACGCCTTCACAAGTTCCAGTTATTATACTACTATGTTCATAAAATTTAAAAAATCTAATTCTCATAGGGAAATGTACCTGTACTAGCTATGTAATAAAAGGGGAAAAAAAGAATTTCAATTTCCTAAATAATTCAAACTATGTTTTATTGTCTAAATTGTATATTTACACAGCCTAGTCTACTATCCTAATTTCCTCATCCAATTAACTGCTATTGTTTCTCTCATGAAAAAGAATGCTGTAAACTATTACTTAACCAAATACACTTTATTTCACATTAAAATACTCATGTGCTGCATTTCTATGCTTTTAAAAGCAAAGTGTTAGAAATTAATTTTTAAATGTCAAATGTATGTGTAGAAATGTAAGTATTATAGTTAGCAAAATCAATCTACTATACGCTAATATTATCTCAGAGTAAATTTTAAACTGACCTTCTTCTGTATTATAGCCTCATATAACTGTTCTTTTCTCCCGTCTATAACTTACTTATTTTTACAATAATACCAGAAACAGGTAATAATGTTTTAAGTAATACATTTTTTGTCGATTTTATTATACCTTGTAGATACTTACTGGTATTATTTTAATCATTTTTAGATTTAGAAATGCTTTCTAAATGTAAAATTTTCTTGGAAATATAATATTTTTCTAAATCAACCTCTCTTCCAAGAAACAGGCTTTTTAAAAGTTAGTTCCATTTTATGAACAAAGTTAATAACTTTATTTTATTCTTAGACATTTCAAGTTACGCATGATTTCATTCTGTGTATTACCAAGGTCCTTTCCAATAAATGGGCTTGAATCAGATGGATACTCGCAATGCTCTGATGCAGGTATTTACTTGCTGACTTGGCTAAAATAGTTTATTAGTAGGTAGAAGAGTGCTGATACAGGGATTCTTTGTGCCTCTCTCCATTTTTGTACTCTGTCACTTCCACAATATTCTCCTCTGTTTCTTCTATTCTTCTATTATAATTATAAATCTGATGGTCTCACTTGCTCTCACCTCAACATAAATTGCACCCCATACCTGTGATAGCACATGGCAGTAGCTTGACAAAGGCTCGCATTAGTCTTGCTTATCAGTGCAGCTTGTTTAAAATCCTGAAACAGTTTAACAAATTTTTGTTAATTTTACAGCATTATATTTTGTGCTTTCTTAAACTTCCTTCTAACATTGATTCTACCATGAATAAAATTTACACAAGCATTAAAATATACATCTTCTTAAAACCCTTATTTCTTCCTTTTAGTATCACATATAGAGCGAGAACAGATGGAGCAGAGGAAACCCATAACCAAAAACTCACTCAGAATCTTGCGCTACTGTCCACTTTTCCTGTGATTTTGCCTGGTATTATAAGGAGGTATCAGGTTTACTTTCTTTTTGTTTTTTTCCCAGTGAACACCACCAGAGACTTCCCTATCCAGACAGAGATAGAAACTTACCTGCAGAGAACCTTATGACTATAGGACAAACAGGCACTCAGGCCCAGGGAAAGGGCATAACTGAGCCTCTATGTGTATTAACTAAAGCAGCTGCTACCTTTGCAACCCACACTTCTAGGGGAAAATGTGTCATTTTATCCTGAGATCCTAGAGCAATGGAAACGCTAACCACAAGATTTGAAGTCAGGGCAGTCAGCTGGGGTGGACATGAATGGCACTGGGGAAGAGGTTAAGAGAACTAAAAGTGCTAAGTCTGCCAGAGATCCTGCCGCTGTGGCACCAGAGACACAGTGTCTGAAGCTCTTTAGCTTTTCAAAGCCCTACATAAACAACTGAAACCTGAAGCAAAATAAAAACATCACTAAACTGAAATAAATAAAATATCTAAATATCTACATATCAAAAGATCATGTCAACTGCAATGAGATATATATGTATATTTGGGTGCGTACATATATACATAAATTATGTGAGACTGATTTCAATGTTTGCCATAAAATGGGAAGGAACCTTCCGAAAGTAAGAGTTCAAAGCCTATGAAGGAATAAAGACGGCTCTGGTTTTTCCCAGAGGACTGCTTCAGTGAGAATCTTCTTGGGCAGTTTTGGTTGTGAGCTCACTTGACCAAGCTAGACTGTAGAGAGTACTCTATCGTCCCCTGGAGTGACTAAAAGAAACCCTTCCAGACTCCCTTCTCATTTCCAGGAGGCTGGGACGTGAGCATTCTACAATCTTAAAGGGCAAGTGTCAGAGTTCTGGTTTCTACCCAACAAGGGAGGACCCAACCGTAACGACAGTCTCCCTCCTCCCTCCCCTCCTCCATCCCCCTCCCCTCCCCCTCATCCTTCCACAAACCTTCCTTGGCTGTACTAGAGAGAGAAAGATGGCTGTTTTATGGGGGTAGAATAAGTTTTCTGCTAATACTGGGGGTGGAAGATGGAGCAGTACAGTCAAACTGAGCACTCCTGGATCCTACTGGAGGAGAAGGGTATTAGTCACAGACCCATCTGAGAATATGGACTTCCCACCTAGATTTCCAGCATATTTTGATACTAAATGGAATTATTTGTTAGAAAATAAGAAATGTATTGTCTAATCAAATATGCTACCAGGTAACTCCCGTAGGAGAATTTTTTTTTTTTTTCTGAAATGGGGGCAAACTTACAGTGTAACTGAGATTTATTACAAACATTCCCATTAATTTTGGGAGTTATGAGGAGTGACCACAAACTTAAAAGGCTGAGAATACCAAGTTTAGTTTTATAATCAGATAAAACTTAAAAAGTCAGCTTGACTCTATATATAAAATCATTATGATGCTACATGGTAATTAGACATTATCAGCAACAGACACAAATGATGACTTAGGATTACTCAGAATAAAGCTAACTGCAGTTTTTATGATTTTCCTCTTCTGCACTAGTTTTATTTCTAATATGGATCATAAATAACAAACCACACAAAGTCACTCACATACAAAGCAAATTCCCTCCACTCCCTTCCTTCTGCTGATGAGTTTATTTGTAAGACTCTTCACCTGCACCGTCTTCCTGTGTGTCAGAGGATGCGCTCTTGACCTCATCCTTCCCATCTCTGGAAACTTGCTCCATCATCTTCTACTGTCCTCTGTAACTTTAATCCTTTTCTCACCACCCCAACCTAGTATGCCTTCCCTCAAACCTGCCTGCCCGCAAGCTACACATGGCTTTGTCTTTCTAGTTCCTGTCACTACCAATCTCTGAAAGCAGAGTCAACACTCACCATCTCCATGTCCCCAAACGCCATCAACTTCTTGTTGTTTAGTAAGTCCAATTTCATTTCGTAATTTGAAAACTGCCTCTAAAGGCATTTTTAAATTTATTTTTATTTTTCTCAAAGTAACTCATGTATCCAGGGTAGGGTAGAGGGTCCAATGAAACTAGAAAACTCACAATGCTTACAGGGATGCCCTGCGCCACCTCTCCTTATCTCTGAGCCCCGCTCCCCAGAGTCAACCATTTTTACATCTTGCTGTTATTTCTTCTGCTATTTACCTCTGAATTTCTAAATAACATGAGTATTTTATCATGTTTAACTTCCAACATAGGATAGAACTTAGCTACCTTACACCATCACTCCACACACCTCCCCTTCTTCCACCATCTCCATATCCCTATGACAATGTGTTTATTTTACTCTTTATTTTACTTCCCTCAAGTGTAGAATCTTTGGCTACCCACTCATATTTAAGTTTTAAAATCGGGAATGGTAGTTTGGGGTGTCTGGGCACCTCTTCTCCACTATCTTTAACCTTGTGGGATTATGTCCTTTTTATTCCTTTACTGTCTTCCTGGTTTTCAAGAGGACAAAGAAATAAACAAATGTTCTCAATCCAACAAGCTTAACCATTAACTTCCTAAACAATTCCAGTTTAAATGCCGCACTCTACTTCCCGTGTTCTTATGAAGATCACACAACTATCAATTAACTAACATGTGTTCAGTGCTCATCCTATCTGACCTTTCTGTTAATCAATCATTCCCACTAAAAATGTTTCCCTGGTTAGGTTTTAAGACTCTGCTCTCTCTTGGTTCTGCATTTAGCCCTCTTATTATTCAGTCATATATTACTTCATTGGTCTACCTCAGCCAGCCTCTTTTTAAAAATTTTTCAAGTTAATTTTTTAAATTTACAGAGGGGAGAAACATTTTTTTTTGCTTTTAATTACAGGCATATCTTGTTTTATTGCACTTCGCAGATACTGCACTTTGTACAAATTGGAGGTTTGTGGCAATCCTGCCTCAAGCAAGTCTATTGGCTCCATTTTCTCTAAAAGCATTTGCTCACTTCGTGTCTCTGTATCACATTCTGGTAATTCTCATAATATTTCAAACATTTTCATTATTATTGTATTTGTTATGGTAATCTGTGATCATCAGTAATCTTTGATGTCACTACTGCAAAAAAACTACAGCTCACTGAAGGCTCAGATGATGGTTAACATTTTTTATCAATAAAGTATTTTTTAATTAAGGCATGTACTATTTTTTAGATATAATGCTATTGCTCACTTAATAGACTACAGTATAAACATAGCTTTTATATGCACTTTTATATGAAACAAAAAAAGTCACTTATTGCTATATTCACTTTATTGCTGTGGTCTGGAACCAAACCCGCAGTAATTCCAAGGCAGGTCTGTAGTGTTTGCAGGGCATATTTTTTTTTCCAGCTTTTTTACTTTTACCTATCTATATCTTATATTTAAAGTGTGTTTCTTGCAGTCAGAATATTGTTGGGACTTTTAAAACATTCTAATCTGGCATTTTCAATATTTCAGTTGGTGTGCTTTGACAATTTCCATTTAATGTAACTACTGATAAGGTTGAATTTAGGTCTACCATTTTAGTATTTGTTTTCTGCTGGTCTCCTCTGTTTCTGTTCCTTTGTTTTCTCTTTCCAGACTTATCTGGGATTATTTTAATTTTTTAATATTCCGTTTTAATTAAAATACTCTTTTTGACTGAGGAGGTCACATTTGAGAAGAAACCTGAAATGAAAGGAGGGTGTGAACCAATAGGAGGAATATTCTACACATAGGGAACAGCTTGTGTGAGGACCCTGAGTCAGGAAGGGAGCCTGGCAATCCAAGGAATAGCAAAAGGCCAGAGTGGAGTAACCTGAGTGGAGAAAAGAAGAACGCTGACAACAAAGTCAGATCAGTGAGCAGCAGTTAGGTCACTAGGGTCTTGGTTGGCCATAGTCAAGAGTTCAGATTTTATTCTAAGTGTGATGGGGAGTCACTGGAGGGTTCTTAGCAGATGAATAACTTGCTCTGCTTTATGTTTTGAAGAGGCCTCTTTGGCTGCTGTGTGGAGAACAGCATGTAGAGGGAAAAGAGCAGAAGCAGGGAGGCCAGTTGGGAAGCTACTGCAGTAATCCAGGGGAGAGAAGGTGGAGGCTGGAAGGAGGAGGAGAGCAGTGGCAAAAAATGAGAAATGACTGAATTTAAAATATGTTTTGATAGCAGAGCTGACCACACTTGCTCATGATTTAGATGTGGGATGTAAGGAAAGAGAGGGATCAAGAATGATTCCCACCAGACTATGAGCTCCTCAAGGACTGGAAATCTGTCACTGATATTCGTCTCCATATCTTCAATGCCAGTGTCAGTACCATGCCTTGTCTGAAGGAACACAGGATTTGGAATCAAGTGAGACCTGAGTTCAAATCTTGCCCCAGTACTTCCTGGCTGACTAAGACTTGATTTAACCTCTTTTGAATATCAGCTTCCTCTTCCATAAGTTACAATCATAAATTGTGCAGCATTATTGAGAATCTGGCAGGTAGTAAGTGTGCGATAACTAGAGTTAATGTTGTTCTTAAATACTAAGTAAATACTTACTAGGTGGATAACACAGGCCCTGCATTTAACTCTCCAACAGCTGAGGTCTTTTGCTTCCAACCCCCATTTTCCTCACTTTCTCCACCCAACACTCTTGCCCAGAGTTCCACAGATTTTTGCCTACACCAAACAAAGCTTCCCCTACCTGAGGGAATTCTGAATGGTATACCTCAAAACCAAAACCTAAGGGAGTTCAACTTGAAATTACATTTCACCATAGTGTAAATTGCCTAGAATACAGTTTCTCGGATACTTCCTTAATAATAAGTAATTTTGTGGGACAGAATCTCAAAAGATGACTCCAGAAGTTGAAAAATAATATCAATACAAGGAAAACTGTGAATGAGAAAGAGCACTAAGCAGCAAAGTAAATGATACATAAATCATTTTACTGTTTGTCTGTAGCTAAGACACTCCCTTAGGGGAGATGATAGTCTTGATATTTCATCAATTCGGAATTTTTTTTTTTTTTACATATTGGCTATTTATCTGTATTAAAAACAAAGTAAAAAAACACTTTTTTTGCAAAGATTCTATTACTCATTCAAAGTATTTCAACACAATTCTTGCTAAAGTTGAATTATTGCTCATTAATATTGCCATTTGTTATCAAGAAAAACTTTTTCACTGGTTTTCAGAAGTGAACATGCAAAATCAAGTGGGTTCATTTGTACAAGTAAACAGAAAGGTTTACCTCTAATGCAAAACTGAACTGCTCTAGTTCTGTGTAGACGAGTCCACGATTAATAAAGGCGTTTAACATCACAGTTTCTCCAGCATCAAGGAGAAGCACAATTCCATAATCTGTTAATGCCTAAAAATGAAATAATCACTTACAGCCTAAAGTCAACTCTTTAGAGCATTACTGCATTGACCATGGACAAACTAGTACCTCATAATTAGTTCTTTAATGTGACAAAATTTATGGCCAAAAATAATCATTTGTTAGATTTAAAGGTTTCCCTTAATTAAATACTGTGGATGTTGCTCCCTCCTAATAAGCGGTGTGCACTGCGCTTGCACTTCACATGTTATCTGTGAATCATCTGTGAACTACTTTTATTGTGTATGGATTGAAGCGGGGATGCAACACCCTTCCCCAACTTAATAGTTTCACCAAATGACTGTTGACATTAAAGCAGAGCACTTGTTACCTTTTGAAATTTAATTTCTTTGTAGTGATTTATTGTTTTCTTCACTGAAACCTAAGTTTTATGGAGGCACAGATTATCCATTTTGTTCACCATTGTAAAGCCAGTAACTAGCACCATGCCTGCACATATTAGGCATTTGATAAATTTTTGTTGAATGAATAAATCATAAAGCAATGAAAACAGATCTTAATAAAACTAACAAATAAGCACTTGTTGGAATATTACTTCAATATTCTCAGTTTTTTTAAGATATTAGCCTAAGCTGAGAATCAACTCAGAGGACCTCTCTCCATTTTTTATCTTTTTTTTTTTCATTCAATGAACAGCCAAGTTTTTACTGGTCATCTACTCTGTACCAGGTACTAGGAGCATCCCAAATTTGGGCTGGAGCTGAATCTCTTAATTCATTTTCCTTCTGAACATTTTGTCCAAAAGAGCCATATGGTTTCATCAGAAAAGGCCCAAATCATATCATATATGCCTGTAGCACATGCTAACTGAAAATGCAAATAAAATAGTATTTTACTATTTGCTTAGTGGTTCTCCTCTACTATTCCATGATTGGGCACTCAAGCATCTAAAAGAATTGTACAATTAAATATCCTATATGTATATTGTGGCATAACTATAAATAAACATTGACAAGGCTGTAAAAATCATTTGTAACACTTGTAAAACAAAACAGAACTAGAATGTTTGCCATTTTCCTTTCACAGAATCACAGAATTAAAACCTGTATATATATCAAGATGCCTTAGAAATCCACTAAGCAGCTGAATATGTGACACAAGAGGAAAAAAAAATCTGGGAAATGAGATTTCGTGAAGGTCACAACGAGCAGGCTTTGTGTTTTGCCTCTGCTATTATTACTAACCCTTCAGCCTTGGGAAGGTTACTTAACACTAAGCCTCAGTTTCCTCATCCACAAAAACGGGATATTAATAACTCATCATATTATTGTAGAAGTCCACTTTAAAATGTTTAGATTATATGTTGGTAAAGCATTTAGCCCAGTGCCTGTCACACAATAAGCCCTAAATGAGTGGTAACTGTTACTGTTTTTATTAGTATAAGGTGATAGGAACCAGAATTCACCTTTTCTAGTTTTTATGAAATCATATCTTGGGAGTGCATTTTCTGCACAAAGTACTTGGGTTTCCTCAGTCTTGTTATGGCAGGTAATGCTGAGAAACGGGTGGAGGTAGACAAAAGGGAGGAGGTGACACTGTAAAATGACATCTGGTCCACATGCTGGAGGTCAGATGGTTTCACAAAGCCACCTAAAGACTGTTAACCAGAAGCAAACAAACCTGCAAACACCGATACAGGTCCCTCTTCCCTGTGTGACTTGGATGTGTTTCTAACCTCATCTGTAAAAGGAGCCCATTGGATGAAAAGCGTTGGGTACCTGGCAGCTCTAAAATAACCAATATGTTCTTATTCTAGTTAGCTTTCTATTTACGTACATAGTTTTTCGTTTTCTTTATTCATGGAGCACTAGCTCTGTTACACATAAGAGATAACAAAGATAGTAGTTCCCTGCCCCCACCCAGACCACTGTTTGCAGTTCAGGGTTACCCAGAAGAGGCAGGAGTCGGGGTGGGGAGGGAGCTGTCAAAGATACCTGCTGTGCAGGTTACTCTGATAAATGATCCTTTAATTAGCTCCTAGAATGGTTTACAACAGTCTGTGTTAAAAATTAGTTATTCATTTGTCAACATTTCTGGAGGAAACCTGATAATCCGGTTACCAGGAATTCTACATCCTCTTAGAAACAACGTTTCTCAACTTCTTCCTTCCATAGCAAATAAATTACTAAATTTCTAAATGTTTTAAACAGATTTAACTTTCCAAGTTTCCAGGAGATTGTGGGAGTGTGCCCACACGCAGCAGCAGGTACATGATGCAATCTTTTAAAGAATGCTTCATTGACTACGGAAGTGGATAGAAACAAGGAGAGGGAAACAAGTGGACAGCAGAAAGGGAAGCAAGAGATTGGACAAAACACTAAGAAACTACTGACCTGCTCCCCAGTGAGGGATCCTGACTGAAAAAGAACCAAACCAACAAGGAGAGAGTGGAGAAGGGGTAAGATTAAAAAATATAAAAGAGGGCTTACACTGGTAGCATCTGCCTCAGGACAAATAGAGAAAAAGGTTTGCTGCAGCCATCAGTTAGGCCTTCAAAACGCACAGATAATCCTGGTCACTGGTCCCTGAGCTGGAAACCATCACTCAAAATTCCCTGCTGCATCTGTGGTCTGACCACTGTAAAAAAAATACCTCCACAAACTATTGTAGTTAATGTTGAGATTTTTTTTTTTTTTTTTTTTGCGGTATGCGGGCCCCTCACTGCTGTGGCCTCTCCCGTTGCGGAGCACAGGCTCCGGACGCGCAGGCTCAGCGGCCATGGCTCACGGGCCCAGCCGCTCCGCGGCACGTGGGATCCTCCCGGACCAGGGCACGAACCCGTGTCCCCTGCATCGGCAGGCGGACTCTCAACCACTGCGCCACCAGGGAAGCCCCAATGTTGAGATTTTGAAGCAAACAATATTGCTAGTGATCACTGCTTAAAAATTCTGCACACATTTATCAGTAGAAACATTTTCTCAAATGAAAATTATGTAATACATTTAAATTTACATGGCCTTTAAATGCTTATATAAAAGCATTGTAAAATTAATTTTTCATTTGACATTGCAGAGATTGTATAAGAAAATTTGGTAAGCACAAAAAAGAAAATAAATATTCTTTGAAATGGTTCTTTGGTTTCTCAAGTTTTATGTGTATTTCCACAGAATTATTTTTCCAAAATTGTAACAAAAATAATAAGAAAATACTTTACACATGCTTTAAATAAGTTTACAAATGCTTTAAAGTGTTGTTTACTAAGATGGTCATCTTACCATTTGAAGTTCATTTATCTTGGTGTAACATAATGCTCTGTTATAAAATGCTATATAACTGTTTTTATCCATGTTGATAGCTGTAGTTAAATCTGTAATCGCTAGTTTGTAAGTCTGTAAAGAAAAAATAATTAAGTGAGAAGGGTTAATCATAATGGACTGAAATTTAGTTGTACAATAAATTCTTGATTCTATCAGAGTTTTGAGAATACTCATTTAACCATTCTGTGTATCATCCATGAAATTAAGACAATCAAGCTAATCTTTCACAGAATTAATTAAGTCCCTTGGTAGGAACTGCTATAGTTTCTCTCACCTGCAAATAAAATTCAATATATAAACAACTTAAATGATTATCTTATTTCCATTGTTGCTATATAGCAAGGAAAAAATTAAATTTCTTATGGATAAAAGAGAAGCAAGCCTTATTCATCCAGCAAACATTCACCAGAGCTTGCTTGCTTCTGTCACTCTCACTGTCATATCACATAATCGTCATGTTTTCTATCCCTGTTCTCTTTTGCTTCTCTTTGATGCTTCTCTGATACCTTAGATCATTCATTTATATAGATAGTAATTTTCATGGAATTAACAGGTAATGCAAGGTCTTACCTTTGCTTTAAGGTATTATTTGCAAAATATTTCATATGAAATGGCTACAGAGAAAGTTCAAAAAAGAAACACAGGGAGAAAAAAAGTATTCCTTGAAGCATCAGATATCGATAGTGTTGCTACACCCAGTAATTTCCATTTAGGAACCATAAACTCAAGTAACGATTTTGTTCTGTGTGTATAACTGTATTATTTAAAATAGTAAAATAATAAAAAATTTCAAACAATCCAAATGTCCAACAATAAAGTGGTTAAAAGTACACTATGGTGGAATATTATGCAGTCATTAAAAATGGTATCTTCAAAGATTAAATATAAGAAGCAGGGCACAAAACAGATTATGTAAGTAGCATAGTCACAATTTTGGAAAGTATATATTATATTTTATTAAGAAAAAAAGACAAAATTCAAATACATCAAAATGCTCTCAGGGGGCTTCCCTGGTGGCACAGTGGTCGAGGGTCTGCCTGCTGATGCAGGGGACACGGGTTCGTGCCCCGGTCTGGGGGGAACCCACATGCCGTGGAGCGGCTAGGCCCGTGAGCCATGGCCGCTGGGCCTGCGTGTCCAGAGCCTGTGCTCCGCAACGGGAGAGGCCACAGCAGTGAGAGGCCCGTGTACCACAAAAAAAAAAAAAAAAATGCTCTCAGGAATTACCATTTGATGGTGGGAAAACAGGTGACTTTAATCTTCTCCTTTATTCCTCTATTTTCCAAATTCTCTACAATGAATATTACTTTCCTAATAAAAATACATAATCAGTGCTATTTAAAATGCAAATGTCAAAAATAAATATCACCATTTTATGAAAAATTATTAATTGAAATCCTTTTGATGTACTGTCAAAGTGTAACACCTTCTATGTAGTTCTGCCTTCATACCATGGCAATTCTCTCTCACAGAGGATAAAAAGGAAGTGAGTTCCTCCTTGGCACCCGAGCAGCCACCCACTCTAAAATACCAGAGAACAAGGTAGGAAATTGCCTTACCTTGTTGTAGTATTTCAGAACTCCTCTGTAGACGTAGGCACGCACACTCTGAGGATAAATTTTGATGGCCTCATTACAACTCAAGATTGCTTTGGAGTATCTGCCTTTCAAACCATAGTAGGCTACTCGACTTAAATATGCCTTTTCAGAGAAAGAGAGGAGGAAAGCAGGAACAGATATTTTAGTAAAAGCATCAGTTCTACCAAAATACATGGTAGCTGGAACAAATTTATGCCACCGAAGATGGTATAAAATATAGACTTTTTGTCACTCTCTTTTATTAAGAAAATTTCAAACATACAGAATAATTGAAAGAATACTACAGTAAACACCCATATGCCTACCACCTGGATTCAATAATTATTAAAATTTTTCAATTTTGTTGTATCTATTTTTTTCTGAACTATTTGAAAATAAGTTGTAGACATCATAAAACTTCACCCCAAGTCTTCCAGTATGCATCTCCCATGAAGAAGACATTCTCCTACATAACCACACTACCACTGTATATCTAAGAAAATTAATAGTATTTCCCTAAAATCATCTAATATTTCATCCATATTCAAATTTCATATGCTTTTAAAATCAAGATCCAATGGAGTTTCACCTATTGGATTTTGTGTTGTCTCCAGTCTCTTAAGAGGTAGGAATCAATGTGACAGCAAAACAAGAAGTAAAATTAATAACATAGTATATAAAATAATTATTAATAGGTACATTAAAATATTTATAATATTTGTATAACCACAATTCACGAAGCACTTTTACCTATATAATTTCCCTGTTGGAAATCATATTTTTAGTTCAAGGGGAAATACAGATATATGGATTATTAAAACTGCTGAAAAGCAAGTAAAACTAACTGTTGCTAACTAATAGCAATAACATTTAAAGATTTAATAGTTTTAGCAAATTTAACACACTTTCCAAACCACTGAAATTGTTCACTTAAATACCTGGTAATGTTTTGGATCAAGGGTAATTGCACGATTAAAATCCAGGATTGAACTATCCTTGTGGAGTTTTACTTTACAAAGCCCACGTTGATAAAAGCCTTCTGCAAAATCAGGATCTGCTTTCACAGCTTTTGTAAAAGAATCAAAAGCCTAGAAGAGCAAATCATGTAGTGAGTAGAATGTATTAATTTAAAATGTTAATACATTACAGTATATAACTATTGCTGAAAAGTTTTCATTTTAGTTTTTGGTCATTTTAAATATGTTTCTCCCAGCAAAACTTGTGGAGCAAAAAAATTTATGAACAAGCCAGATTTATTATTATAATTTACAGGTTCCCTTACTCCCAGACTAATGTCTGCATAATCCATGTTGTTACAACACTTTCAGAGGTGTAACTTTAATCATTATTCTTCCTGTTGTGTTTCTTCAAAGAAATCACAATTAGTACATTTATTTTCCGTGTGGGCCAGCAGATATGTGGTTACAAAATTTCAAAGCAATGGAACTCCAAAATTTTTCCTAATATTGTAAAGCAAAGCTAGGTTTCCTCTGCTTGTCCAAAAGGTCTAAAAACATGAAAAATATTTGTAATTAATCTTATATTTATTGTAATTTCTTACAATAAATGGAACAACTAATCAAGTGCAAAAAAGTTATGAAGATGCAAGTTTCAGACACTGTCCACCCCTATGAATATAAGGACTGGAATGGTGTGTGTGTGTGTGTGTGTGTGTGTGTGTGTGTGTGTGTAGTTGTGGAATATTCAAAAATAGCCAATGGAAAATACATATTTATCATATCATTGAAAATTCTGAAATGGAGAATTCTGTGAAATAGCCAAATACTGGATAAATACATAATAATTGAATCAACTGGTTTTATTCTGATTTGAATTGCTCAGCTGTCAATAACAGAAATCAAACAGTGTCCTAATCATTTTCCATTTATTCTACATTACACTGAAGCACTCAATATAAAGTACTTACAATTTAATAAGTAAATTTATACTAATGTGATGAAATTTTGATATAAGTTCTTACAATTAAATTTGTTTAGTGGGAAACATGCATTAGTCTTCCAAATAGTGTTGACAAACAGGCATCAATAAAATGTTTGAATAAATAAAACAATGTAGTAGGTTTTGCAGGGTGCAGACTGCCTATAGTAAGCCAAGCTTTATAAGAAGCTTTGGTCTAGTCACTCACTGTTTAGGTAGCCTTCAGAAATGGAACTGAATGCAAGGAAACAATTTCTAAAACCATAAAATACCTATGCTCTTAAATACACAAAATACCAGTTGTAAGTTGCCTTCCTCCATGTAACAAAGACCCAAGTGATACAGACAGTCTGATGAAGCTGCTACGGCATTTCGTCCTTTATCAGAATGAGAAAAGGTATCCAACGTCTTTTTAAACATTCTCATGGCTTCCTATAATGATTTTTAAAAAAAGAGAGGGAAGGGAATGTTTTTTTCTAATATTTATTTAACACAACAGCCTTAGATGTTAAAAGGAATCCTGAGCACACAGCCCTACTCTCACTTCACAAGAGGACACACAGACCTGGTAAAGACAGAGATCTTGTCAGTGCACCCAGAGGGAGGACTTCTGACAGGCAGGAAATCTGACCCACCCAGGTGCCTATCCTACAGGCAGGTACGTAAGCAGGGTTACACAAGTGGACTTTTGGAACTATAATTTCTAAATTCTAAAGGGTATTTTCTCGTAGTCTTAAATCAGACTCAAATTTATAGGCCAATTTATGACCAACTTCCTAGTAATTCTCCTGAAGGGAATGTCAGGCAACTATTAGGTAGTAAAAGTTCTCCACTGATAATATCTGAGGTTGTTGTAATCAACTTTTATTTTGTCTTGCTATGCTCTCAAGGGGGTTCCATTGACACCAGAAAATAAACTAACATCAAAAATTACCCATTTAAACTATTCTGTCAAAATAGTTGAAACTCTTAATGAAAAAAATTCAACTTTCCAAATAGAAACGCGTTTTCATAACTAGCTACTCAATGTATTTACCTAATATACAGAAATACAGCTACTTGTGACTCTTTAGCCCACTTTCTTAATTATATTAAATTGCTAAAGAAACAATGAGGTTGGGCTTCCCTGGTGGCGCAGTGGTTGAGAGTCTGCCTGCCGATGAAGGGGACGCGGGCTCGTGCCCTGGTCTGGGAGGGTCCAACATGCCGCGGAGCGGCTGGGCCCGTGAGCCATGGCTGCTGAGCCTGCGCATCCGGAGCCTGTGCTCCGCAACGGGAGAGGCCACAACAGTGAGAGGCTCGCGTATCGCAAAAAAAAAAAAAAAAGAAAGAAAGAAACAATGAGGTTTAACTTGGATATGCTGTGTCCTTTGTGCCCACCCTTAGTTTACATCACATGTCTAAAGCTTACCTCAACATTCATCCTTCCAGCCTCACTCTCAGCACACGCCTTTGCAATAGAAAAAAGGGCATCACCTTCTCAATTTCCCTCATTTTTACTATTCAAAGTCTCTACATCTTCTTCATTTCCATCTTTTTTTCTCCTGTCTTTGAATGGTTTCCTTTCTTCTTTTCAGAGCTAACTCCTCAAGCTGTGCCCTTGACCCCAACTCCTTCTGTCCCGCCTTCTGCTTTTGGATCTCTGCCCCTTCATTGCCTCCTGGAGTCCATAAAGTCTTCCATCACATTTAAATTAAAATGAACACATCTTCTCTTCCTCCTCTAGCTGATGTCCCACCTCTCTTTCCTTCACTACTCTAAAAAAGTAGTGGACGCTCTCATAGGGCAAATGTACATTCCAAACACAGTACCGTGGCAGCCGTGTGGAGAAAAGCTTGGAAGAGTTCAACACTATTATATAATTCAAACAAAATACAAATATGTTCTGGACTAGGATAATGACCAGAGAAATAGAGAAAGGAAGTGGGTTTGAGAGACATTTAGAAAGTAGAACCAAGAGAGCATGACTATTGATTGGGTAGAAGAGGGATCCAATCAAAAGTGACTTCAGGTTTCAGGGAGGTTAAAGTAAATTTAAGATTATTCCAAAGAAGGAATTTGATATCATAAAGGTGTCAATTCTCCCTAAAATAATCTACAGATTCAATACAATTCAATCAAAATTCCAGCAGGGTTTTAAAATCTTGACCAGCTGGAAGAGTAAAGGCCCAAGAATAACCAGGAATTTCCTGGAGAAGAATATGGTGTGGCAACTTGCTCCACCAGATGTCAAGAATTACAATAAAGCAACAGTAGTTAAAACATTGTACTATTAGGCCAGGGATAGAAAAATTGACCAAAGGAATAGAATAGAGAGCCCAAAATCAGATCCACACATACATGAAAGGTTATAATAGGACAGATGTACCACTTCAGATCTTTGGTTTAGGAGAACATTTCAATAAATGATACTGGAACATTTGAGTATCCATATGGGGAAAACTGAAGTTTTATCACTATATCACATTCAAAAATATCAATTTAAGGTAGAGTGAGGTCTTAAATGCAAAAAGCAGAATTTTTAAACTTTTAGAAGAAAATATGGGAAAATATCCTTATGACCTTGGTGTAGGGAGGGAATTTTTAAACAAGAATTTTTTTTAAAGCTGTGACAATAAAACAAAAAAAGATATATTCAACTACATTAAAATTAAGACTCTCTGCTCATCAAAAGACATCATGAAGAAAATTTTAAAACCAGCCACAAATTGCAAGAGGATACATGACACACATGTAACCAACCAAGGACTAATACACAGGACTTATTTTTTTCAATGCCAAAAATCAATATGAACAGGACAAACAAAAATGTGTACAGCAAATTGATAGAACAGGAAGTATAAACATATAAAAAGATACCTCAACCTTTGCTCAAACTGAGAAATGTTAATTAAGACCATAATGAGACATTAGTTTTTATCCACCGAACTGATAAAAATAAAGTAGACAGCACCAGTTATTGTAGAGGATGGAGATCAACAGGAATACTCATACACTACAAGCGGGAGAATAAATTGGTACAACCCTATGGAACAATGTGCCATTTTCTTGAAAGTTAAACATTTACATTCTCTACATACTAGCAATGTTAACAGAAGACATGAAAAAGAATATTACCCTTACTCTTAAGAGGAAAAAACACAAAAGAAAACAACCCAAATATTAATTAACAGAAGAATCAATAAATAAATGGTATGGTTTAGTTTTGTAAAAAAAAAAATATATATATATATGTAAGCAGTAATTCCAAGCACAATATAAAAATTCCATTAATAGGTTTAGTAAACGTTACTCAAGACTTTTCACCTTGTTCCTCTTGGCCTTCATTTGAGCTTTTGCTAATAGAGCATACATGGTGACCTCAGGCTTATTCAAAGTGATCCCATCTAAGACCTGAATGGCCTTGTCATGTTTCTCACAAAATGAATAAATGAGTGCTTGCTGTATAGGACTCAACTCAATTAGACCTAAAAGGAAATGAAAATTTATCAATAACTTTGCCAAGTATCTAGGACTTAGAATATAATTATTTTAAGACAGTCAAGCAATTCAATAATCTATTTTTACAATATGAATTAATAAATCAATATGATACTAAAATCTACTTACTGTCAACAAACAATAAGACATTCCAACTACAAATGAACAAACAAAAAATAACAGCATAAGCCTGGTATTTCCTATAATAATCTCTCTCACAAAATTCACTAGGCTATGAAGTATTTTACAAATTGGTTACATACATGTGAAACTGAAGTTTTAGTTTTGAAATCTAACTTTGACTTTCAAGTGAAGCCTTCATGCTACCTATACAGAGCTACTGAAAATAGTATAAAAAATTTAAAGAAGTATTTCTTTTTAAATTAAGACAATATTATAATTTTACATTGATTATATTTACCTTTGGTCATTTCTGCTACTTGGTAAATAGTGAACTTTGCAAGATCATAGCACTTCATCCTAAGAAGATATTGTCCTCTGGAAGAAATAACAGCTTTTTAATTCTAAGCAGTTAAAAATAATTTTTCTAAAATAAAGTTTTTTATACTCAGTTACTTAAAATTTTAAATTATAATACATTTATTCATACTTATTATAATACATTTGAAATTATAAATATTTTATGTAAGTCTAAATAGGCCAATTAGCGTGGAGATGTGAGAAGAAAACAATTTAGGAAATGTGAAGCTGAAAGAAAAATAGTCAGATCTTTTTGTAATTATCAGCATTTAAAAAGTTATACTCTGTTGCTGAGAAATTTTAAAAGCTAAACACAGTTTAAGGGGCATACAAATGGAGAAGTATTTACATAAATTGTTAAAATGTGGTTCAAGAGTTAAAAGATGAAGCAAGACCTTATCAGAAAGCATTGTTCCAGTCCATTTTCCCATTTTCTGTAAATCCATTTCCGATGTTAGTAATTATAATATATTTTTGGTAGTGATAACTCAAAATTTGCAATGGGTCCTTTTATAGCAAGCTCTACTGCATCTGAAATACAATTCAATGTATCTTTTTTTTCACTGAATTATCTGAGGTTTATACTTGGTACCTCTGGGTACACAATCAAAATATATTACCTTACTTTTATGAGATCTGTGATAACTATCTAACCAGTAATCTAGAGAGGCCTCAAAGAACTTAAACACAGACAGCTGTGTTTTGATGCAAGGACAGAACAAAGGGAAAGATCTGTTATATTATGAATTATCTTAAAGTTTAACAAAAACAACTATATCTGACTTGCTGATTTGGAGATGGCCATTTCTGGGAGATTAAATGTAAAACAAGGAGGCTGGAAGGATCAAGAAAGAACTAAGGATTCCAACAGCTAGCTCAGATACTAAGTTATCCCAAGAAGAATTCTATTTCTATACACATACCTTATTATATATAATTGGATTCCATCTGGCTGAAGGTGGATAGCACGAGATAACTCTCTTACTGCCTTTTTCAATTTGTGCAACTGTTGAGTGATAAACAGAAACTTAGCTCATAATAATACTGATTGCTTCCTTTCTGATAGTTATTCCCTCCCACCCTTCAATACAGAAATTTTGCAGCAATCTCTCCTAATACATGTGTTTCTTAAGAATCATCAAAGCAAGTGGGATACAGAGAAGTTAAAAAAAAATTTATGAAGCAAAGTCTTTATTTTAAATTATCTTTAAATTTGAAGAATGATTACACAGATCCACAAATATATAGTTTTAAATAAATATGATTATATCATATGTTCTAGTTTGTTTTTGTTTAGCTTTTCAGTTTTCTCCCTCAACCATAACACCTTTTACACCACACTTTACTCATGTTAATAAACTAGCTTGCAAAGGAATGTAAAATAAAAAGTAAAAGTCAATTCCACTTAAAAATAAGAGAGGAAAAACAAGGTTGCACTTAATGAGTAAAATGAATGAATAAAACAAAATACAACAATGATGAAAAAGATATCTGTTTAAAATCAATATACAATGAAAAGTAAACAACGATTCTTTCCTTAATACTGGTTACAGAGCATAATCTGAATTTATACAAATTTTTACAAACATTGGGGAAATTACAAAAGGGGGAACTAAACACATCCCAGCAAAATGAACCTGGGACAACCAACGACTCCTCTTACTATGCTGACATGGTGATCAAAACATTTGTGCATAGAAGTAGACAATACCTGTTAAAATGGTACAAAGTGTTTGGAGGAAATAGTGGGTGGAGTCAAAAGAGGGAATTCAAAAGGAGGGAGTCTGAGATGTTTTTAAATAAATTTAAGAATTACTGTGGAACTTCAGGCCTGCTGCTTCTCAAGCTAATCCTGATCAGGTTGGTGTAATTAAGAAACCACTTTGTCATATGCCTGCATTGCTCCACCTGGTTCCAATCATACATAGCTATGCATTGAGGAAACCCTGACTGGGAATGATGGAAGCTCACTCTCTGGTCTTTGCAAATTTTCCTGGGGTTAGACTTCTCCAGGTAGCATTAGATTGGATTTACCCTGGAGCCTAAACCCACACTGTAGGCATATGTATTCTTCTATATACATACACAGGGTTTGGTTTGTCATTGTTTTATCTACATGGGATCATACTGTATACACTTTAAAGTCTTCTAAATCTTGTTCTAGAATATCTCTTGGAAATCCCTCCAAATCACCTGGCATAATTCTAACTATTCTTTTTATTGACTATATAATACTCTATAGTGTGAATACAACATAATTTATTCAACCATTACTGTGAAGAGGTTTTTGTCTCCTCAGAACAATGAGTCTTTGAATATATGTCCTTACACCTTGATATTATGCTGGTGCTTTGGTTTCTAAATATGCTCGGAGGAAATTCCAACTTCCCCATAAGGCCTCAGCTCCATCAACAGGGAGTGAAGCAAAAGGGCCACACACACTCCCCACCCCTTCCCAACAGGGATCAAAAGCAAACCTGCCCTGGGGATAATACCAAAATGGCCCCAGGGTCTTCTGCTTCCATCATCAGGAAGGTAAGGACTTAGTCACACTGCATCCTGAGATGAAGACAATGAGAACAGAGCCCCTAGCAAACTCCCAATGGACATGCAGTGTGAGCAAGAAATGAACCTTTGTTACTTTAAGATGGTGATTCTGAAGTTTTATTTGTTGTTTTTGTTTTCCACAGCGTAACAGGCTATCCTGACTGAAACCAATGTGAGGAGAGGACTTGTAGGAGATGAGGGCAGAAAGGTAACAAGGAGCCAGTTCACATGAGCTCTTGTAGGCCTTTGGCTTTTGCAAGATTTGGCTTTTATTCTGAGCACAAAGGGAAGCTATTGAAGGGTTCCAGGCAAAGAAGTGAAATAATCTGATTTATGTTTTAACAGGATCACTATGCTGCTGTTTTGAAAACCCATCAAAACGGAATAAAGAACAGAAGCAAAAAGACCAGGAGGCTACTGCAATAACCCTGGTGAGAAATCAGTGTCTTGGACAGGACAGTTAATGATGGAGCAGTAGAAGGGAATATCTGTTTTGAAAGGTAGACACAACAGCTAACAGTCTTTATCTCTGGGAAGTCCAAGTTGGTTGGAGTCAGAGAGAGCTCTTATTATTTACTATATTGTTTGAATTTTACACTAAGGATATATTATTTTTTTAATTTAAATAACTTGTAAATTAAAAAAAAAATTTAAAGGAAAGTGTAAATGATTTGGACCCCATTCTATGCACAGATCTCATTCTATGAACTCACCCATTCACTCACTCCTCATACACACACACACAAAACTGATGGACTCTAAAATGTTAACAGTAGTTATCTCTAAAGAATGAAATAATGGATGTTTTTTAATGTATTCTTATTTGCATACATATATTACATGTGGTAAATATACATTGCTTTTGTAATAAGAAAAAAAACAGGCATTATTTAAAAAAAAAAGACAAAAATTCACACCTAATCAGGAGAGGATTTTTAAGTGGGTAATTTTAGTTAACTATCAATATATCTACCTAATATGTATTGTTTATAAATGCGTTAGGCTCTGTAATTAGCTGAAAAAGAATACGTTGATATATCTGAAATTACATTGAACAAATATTCAAAAAATTGAAACATTTTTTAAAAATCAAAGTTCTCAAACCTTAAATACCTTATGATAGGCTTCTGCTCGACAAATATAGCTTTGAATATACATAGGGTCAAGTCTAATAGCCTCAGAAAAATACCGAGTGGCTTCAATGTAGTTATCCAGGTGTAGTAGATATATGAGGCCAATATTTATATAAGCCAAAATAATGGTTCTAAAAAAAATGAGAAAGCAAAATATTCTTAGACATTTTAATTATTCCAGATATTCTCCAATTATAAATGAACCTAATGAAATACATACATCAATTTATACCAGGGTTCTTTCTCTTGGACAGGACAGTTTTCCTAAAGCAAAATAAATTAGTTAAATACTTTCTATTAAAAATTATAAACACCTTTATGAAATCCTTAGTTAGGAATAAACATTTGTAGAGCCTGTCCTAGGAACTGATTTCCTGAAGTCTCCTAGACTCTTAGCAATACTTCACTCTTCCCTGACTTATTCTTGACTTATCTTGGATAACAAGCTTAGTTTTCCTCAACTCAAAAGTTTTTGCCTCAAGCTATGTTATATTCGCCAAGAGAAAGGGTGAGGAACAGTGAGAAAGAGCAATATTCTCGAGGCTTAGGGTTAAAAATCCTCTCCACAGAGGTATTAACCCAGTTGCTTTTCTATATCAAATAAAAGTTGTTTTTCTCTCTTAGAATCAAACAATTTTCAATGTAGAAATAACCTTAGAAATTATTTGTTCCATGCCTCTATTTCAAAATGAGGAAACTACACATTCTGTATCCCAACTGCACAGAAGCCCTGACCCTTTTGCCGGCTGCCCACTTTCTGGCTTTCTGCAACTGAAACTCATTTCTTTCTCTTCCTGACTCAAAAATATCCCAAAGAAAACCACTGTGGCCATTGTGGAGCCATGTTCCATGACTTTTCCCAAGTCAAGTTCAAAGTTTACCTTAAATAAGCTAAGTAAGCAGTCTGCCGGTTGGCACAGAATGGGCATGATTTGTTACTCTTTCTGACACCTTCCATTTTAAAGAATACTTCTTTGGAAAGAAGAGGAATTATTTAATTAACTTCTACTTTTTACAGCCTGGCTTTCTGACTAGTGTATGTAACTTTCAGTCTGTTCCTTCCTGAACCTGTGTTCTAATGGTATTTGCTTTTTTTATTTTGCTTTACTAAACAAAATGTAGTCAGAAGTTCTAAATAGAGGATTTCTTCCCACTGAGTCGTATATTGTGCCTAGCAACAATATAGCAAGCAAGTATTTTGCCATTATTTTAAAACTTGATGACAATTTTCCATGAACTTAACTTCAAAAAGCTTTAACCTGGGCATCCCCAAACTGCTCTTAATTACTGGGTGATTTTGCTATCCTTGGATTTAAACTCCTCTCAAACCCATTCAATCTCTAAAGTTTGCAAAAGCATCTGAGGCAAACAGATATTGAGAACAGTTCTTATTTTAGAAGTAAGCTTATTTTCAGAGGTAGTATTCTAATTCTAGGATGACTTCATAATTGTCTCATTTTTACAAGGTTATTAATGATGAGGGCAGAACGCTTTTTCTTCCACCTTGGTGTTTTCCTGATTTTATATAAAAGTGAAATCAATACGAATCAAAGGGAAAACATACCTTTCTAGAGAAATAACAGCTTCAAAGTCACAAACTGCCAGCAACCAAAGTTTTAGATCCGCGTAGAGTACGCCACGATGCAGGAAGCAGCTAAGATTCTCACAGCCGTCATTTATGAGAGCTTAAGAATAAAGGGATACATCATATTCAGGTTCTGAACAAACATATCTGAGTTACATTTTAGCCTATGCCCCTTCCTGCTGCTTATTCTTATTTTTTTTAACATTACATAAAATAAAACATATCTGTCATGAGTGTACTTATTTGGTGAGTAAAACACAATACTCACATAAAAAAGTGTATTTGTTTATAAGGAACAATGTGACTGTTATGGTTCACAAACTCATTAGAGCTGGAAGAAATCCTGGTATTAATCTATGATAGTCCACTCACTTTACAGATGAAGAGATTAAGGTCCAAAGGGGCCAGGTACAGTGACCATGCAAATCAATGGCAAAGATGGGCCTAGAATCTAACCTCTGATCCCCTGCAGTGGATTGCAGTCAGAAAGGTGCCATTGCCCTTGATGGCTTGTTATTATTTGGAAGATAGGAAGGCATCATTACTGGCCCAAGAACAGGTTCTGGTACAAACCCAGACTGGGGCAGAGAGAAGAGGTCAGGCTTATACACATAAACCAGGAGGGACAGCTCAAAGAGGCTACTCCCATTGCAAGCAGACCTTGGAGTTAAGGCAGGCAACTTGACTATGCGTATCCCAAAGAACAGAAGCATGGGGCAAAAATAACCTCCTCTCAGGACTCCAGGCATGTGGCTCTCATCAGTGACCAGTCTAGCAGTCTAGAGGTTATCTCATGTCTCCTCACTTGCTGATTCCCCCTCAACTTCCAAAAACATGCAGTGAAGTAGATGAGATTTTTACATTTGATCCACATCGCCCAAGCTTCTCAAGCTAAAAAGGGAAAGTTCTGCAAAAAATGTACATAATGTTCACAGCCTGGGACACAAACATGCACAATACTAGATTTGGGGAAGTATTCCTAGTGTAAGCAGTGATCATACAGATTAAGTAATCACTTGAAGGCCATTTGACTGCTCAGTTCACAGTATGACTGTCTAGCAAGGAGAAAAATAGCTGCAGTTGGTTACTTGGTTGCTCTAGAAAAATAGAAACATTCTTCTTTTTTTTAATTTATTTTTTTTTAATTTTTGAATTTAATTTATTTTTTTATACAGCAGGTTCTTATTAGTCATCAGTTTTATACACATCAGTGTATACATGTCAATCCCAATCGCCCAATTCTTCACACCATCACCACCACCACCCCGCCGCTTTCCCCCCTTGGTGTCCGTATGAGAAACATTCTTCTTGAGGAAACAAAAATATTAGAATTACTTATCCTCTCTGTGCTTTGGTTTTCTCATCAGTAAAATGGGGATGATAATAGTACCTACCTCATAGCATTATTCTGAAGAGTAATTGAGACTCTCCATATATAGCATTTAGAATAGTGCTTGGCAAGTAGTGAAATGCCTAATGAATGTTAGATATGATTATTAGCTTAGAAAAATATATTGAGGGTCCTTTTTGATTGTGAAAGATAAAACTCCTTACGCTATCCTATAGGAAAAGATTGAGGCTAAAATAAAGCTGGTCTGCTCTGAATAATTAAATAACAAGGATCTGTATTATTGTGATAGCGTAGAAAAGAGCAGGTGAAAAGCCCAAAACTTGGAGAAGAGGGAAATACGAGAAAGCAGCTCTCAGGAAGACCAGGAAGAAAGGGGTTTAGCCAGATGGCAGATGGACAGGGCTGACAGAGACCAATAAAAGATAAACTTACAGAAATAAGGGTGTTTAACCTTCAAATTTAAATTATCTGTGCTAACTTTATCCTCTGAACCCTAAAACATTTAGTAACAGATGGTAGCCGTGAGCAGTGAACTGGTGAACAAAAATGGAGACTCAATCAGACAGCAGAAATTAGGTACAAAGATTCCAAGAGAATTGAACAGGAATCCTCAGTTCTCTCTTCTGGGAATCCTTGGAAATAGAAGGGAGGGCACTAGACTCCTCTCAGCACATAGGATGGGCTTTGAGTTATTTTATTTGAATATTCATGGGAAGGGTGACCTCAGAAGGCAAATGGATTTAGAGATATCAAGAAACAATCATCTTTTGGAGTTCCCTGGTGGTCTAGCGGTTAGGATTCGGCACTTTCACTGTTATGGCCTGGGTTCAATCCCTGGTCAGGGAACTGAAATCCCGCAAGATGCAAAGCACTGCCAAAGGAAAAAAAAGGAGAAACAATCATCTTAGATTGCCTCCCCTGAGGAGCTATGTATTCTCTTCCTAAGAGTCTAGTGGTCTCCTTAATCTCTAGATTCTGCCTCATCTAGGATGTTGGGATTCTAGCACTTTGCACCCAGGTGAACACAGCCATGTTTGGAGTGTTGGACTCTGGCTAAAATTTGCCAGTCAGGATGGGCTAATTTATTCAGCTGGACACTGTTTACTGAGCACTTATTCTATGTCCAGAATTGTGGACATATTCATATACCAAGAATGCACTGGTACAGGGTAAAGAGGAAATGGCCACTTTTAGCTGCTGCATCCTCTTACTGAGGATTCTCAAAGCCCATTTTTAGTCTAAGGGTTACAAAACTCTGAATTTGACTAATCCATGGGCTGGGTCTATGGAGTAGACCCAGCCCACTAGGAAAAATCACTACCATTTTATCAAGATGACTAAGAAATAGGCCTGGGGCTTCCCTGGTGGCGCAGTGGTTGGGGATCCGCCTGCCGATGCAGGGGGCGCGGGTTCGTGCCCCGGTCCGGGAGGATCCCACGTGCGGCGGAGCAGCTGGGCCCATGAGCCGTGGCCACTGGGCCTGCGAGTCCGGAGCCTGTGCTCCGCAACGGGAGAGGCCACAACAGTGAGAGGCCCGCGTACCGCAAAAAAAAAAAAAAGAAATAGGCCTGGATTTCCATAAATAGCCTCAGAACTTCATATATAGAAAGAGATTTCTTTGATATGATATTCTCTCTGTCACAGTTGTACACACGTAAACACACACACACTCATACACACTAAAAGGGAATATTAGAAACACTTTTAGCTAAATTATTGTAGCTTTAAGTATAAATAAATATATATGCTACATAAATATATATAAGTATATATATAAATGTATAACAATATACATATTACATTAGTCATCCCACATTAGTATTCTACTCCATGAAAGTGAGCTGCTGAACCTCAGATTAAATTCCATGTATTTGCCATTAAAGGTGAAGTACCTGAAACACTATAATCCTGCAGTGCTCTAAGAGGGTTACTCTTCCTAAATAAGCAGGCTCTGTAATACAATGCTAACCAGTTATTAGGATCTAAGTGAATTGCAGTAGAAAGATCTTGAGTTGCTTGCTTATAAAAGTGCCGTTTAAAATATACTCTCCCTCGGTAAGTCCTAGAAAAAGTAAAAAATTCATTTTAACATGTACTGCAAAATATAAATTTTCTCTTTTTGGCAAACTTATACAACTAATTTTATATTTGAATAACAACTTGTGATTATTTCTCTTTGCTTCCCAGGAAAGTTTAGTCATAATGTTAATAGCAAAAAGGATATGGACAATTTATAAATAAATATGTAAATATATAATAAAATACTTTATTATTATATGTATAAATAAATATATAAATATATAATAAAATACTTTATGCTTGTTGATAATATTATATATTAATTATATATATGCTTAATAATTATATTATATTTCTTACATTTATCAGAGAGGTGTGTCAATAAAATAAATGAGGCACCCAAGATACACTGAAGATACACCCCCAAAAATGGAAGGCAGCTCTATCTGCAAGGGTAAAAGCTATTGCATCAGTCTTATGAGTTGAATTCTATCTCCATTAACTTCTGACTTCAATTTCGAAATTTTCATTGACCTATATCAACTCTGAAAATCTCATCTTCGATCACTTAATAATGTAAAACAAATCAGTTTTTACAGCTAAAATAAAAAAGACAATGAAGGAAAAACAGGAAGAAAGCTAGTAGGTTGCCTGCTCTGAAGAAGTTAAATCCAGGGGGAGGAAAATAGATGTTCAAGAAGGTTATAGTATGAAAACAATGGTAATTTAGAAAAAAGAGTACAGCAAGTAACAGAGGTCTTTCAAAAGCACTACGCATCCTAAGACTTAGGATATTTTATCGTGGAACAAAATATTTTTTTACCCCACATATAAGAAATGTCTTATGTAGTTTCTAATGAATATAAGAATCTTACATTTATTTTTAATAATTTCTGATTGCTAAAGACTATTACTAATTATTTCTAAGTATATATATGATTCTGAACTTAAAATCTTACAGAATAAAGCATTACTAATATTTTTTGTAGGATTCCATTAAGTCATGTCAATTCCTCAAACACACTGGCTTCTGCGTCCATTCCTTCTTTCATTTCTACCGCCTCAATACTGAAGACCCTCATCAGATCACATCTGGGCTACTACTTTATTCCATTCTTATCTCTAGAGTGATGAGATTTGATCATCAGCTAATAAAGATCACTTTTCTCAAAAACTTTCAACAGCCCCCCCCCCATTGACAATGGGATAAGGCTGAATTCTTTAAAAAGGCATATAAGGCCTCCCATAAGATAACACCACATTATAACACCTTGAATTAACCTTCTGTTCTTCTCCAACTAATCTGATGCCTTCCTGCAAGTAATCCCCCTTTAAGTCAAGAAGTAGACAACCAGAATAGAACAATAACTAGGGATGAATTTTTAAAGAGCTTCAGAAAAGTTTGCCCTCTCTTCAAATGGCTGCAAGCTGAGATAATTCTAGAAGTAAGTTATTTCAAACTTTCAAAGAACAAAAATTATCCAATTCTGAAGACATGTTTCTAAGAAAAGAAAAAGATGAAAGACTTAATTCATTTTGAGAAAGTAGCCAAATCCTGAAATCAAAATCTGACTATGAAATTAGTGAACAATCTTACTATGAATATAGATGAAAAACTCTTGAAGAAAGTGAAGACAAAGCAAATTCAGTATTGTTTAATAATATTCTATCTAAAAATATATGATGGCCAAGAGGCATTTATCCTTCAAAATTAGAAAGCCTATTACCATGAAATTCTTATACGTAGATCATAGGAAAAAAATTTAAACAGGAATCAAGAGATACTCCCTTGAAATAATTAAAGAATAAATGGCTCAAAAATTACAACTGTGATGTTTCTTGGTAAAAGTCAAAGGCATTTTCATTAAGTTCAAAAGATGAAGATTCTTATTATCACCAACATTATTGTTAAGTTAAAGCTGATGCAATGATAAAATGAGTTGGGAGATTAGAGTAGAGCAAAAGAGGTAGAACAGGGAACTCCGAAACGCCACCTTTCCACAAAAGCAATGAATAAGCGGGCAAACACTGTCAGAAGCAATTAAAGAATTAAGAATCTAATTAAAAACTTAGAATCACCAGGGTAATACTTAATAGAGGAGGAAAAGCTGCTGAATTTTGGTAAGAGAGCTCTGTGGTGTTCTAACTCACCCTATTTCCCTCCCCAACTTCCCAGACCCATGGTGGCCTTGAAGAAAACAACCTGCATTCCTGACGCAGGTTACTAGTACCAGAGGGAACAATACAAATCTTATTCTCAAAGAACTGTAGCTGTGTAGTTTTGACCTGTCTGGTGGATCACTGAAAGACTGGCTCAAATGTTTCCCTTTGTTTTGACTGCCTTAGAGCTTTCCCAGGGCTGAAGTGACTTCCTGGATGGTGTTTATCAAAGTCATTTAAAGGCAAATGCATTAGCTGCTGCCACTTGGGGCAAGGGATAACAGTTGCGGCAGGCAATAGTCAAACCAAAAACCCTTGTAAGAAAGAAGGTGGAGAAGGAGATACCAGGGGGATGAGGGCTTTAGAAAGTTTCCGCATATTGTAGGGAATCTAAAAGGCCACATGCAAACCCAAGGCTGAAAGCATGCACAGAAAAGACCTACGAAGAGCCTTAGCTTTCACCTCTGGTTAATTCAGGCTCTGTGCAAGTAGGACATGAAAGCTAAGGCATTGAAGTTGTCTGGATAAGCATTCAAGGAGTGCCCCAAAAGAGAGTCAATCTGCAAAGACTGAGAGAGTTTTTTTGTTTGTTTCGTTGGTTGGTTTCGTTGGAATCTCAGTCAAATCACTAGCTAACCTCCAAGATAACAGAACACAGACTTCAGTGGCCACACATGACAAAGACTACAGACTTATAAAATCTGTTCAGAAAAGTCACTAAACAAACTACACGAATGACAAGAAGCAGCAACAAAAAACACTGGAAGAGGAGGTGAATATGATATCCAAAGGTGCCACACAATAATATTCAAAGTGACTACTTTTCAACAAACAATTACAAGTAATGCAAAGGAAGAAGAAAATATGGCCCATTCACAGGATAAAAAGAAAAAAAATAGAAACCATCCTTAAGGAAGCCCAGACATTGGACAAAGACTTAAAATCAACTGTCTTAAAATCAACTTAAAAACTTTAAATAAACTATCTTTGGGAAACCCATGGCAGTCCAGTGGTTAGGACTCGGCGCTTTCACTGCCAGGGCGCAGGTTCGATCCCTGGTCAGGGAACTAACATCCTGCAAGCCATTTGGCCCAGCCAAAAACAAAAAACAAAACAACCCACAAAACTATCTTAAATATGTTCATATAGCTAAAAGAAACCATAAAGAACTAAAGAAAACTAGGAGAATGATGTCTCAACACATAGAGAGTATCAATAAAGATACCGATAGATAGAACTAGATTGATAGATAGAGAAATTATTGAAAAAAAGGAACCAAATAGAAATTCTGGAGTTGAAAACTACAAAAACGAATGAAAATTCACTAGGTTTCAACAACAGATTTGAGAAGGCAAAAGAAAGATTCAGGAAACTTGAAGTAAGGTCAATTCAGATTATCCAGCCTGAGAAGCAGAAAGAAAAACAGAGTGAAAAAAAAGGGCTAAGGGACCTCTGGAACACCATCAAGCATACCAACATATGCATACATTGCAAGTCACAAAAGGAAAGGAGATGGTAAAGGAGCAGAAATGACATTTGAAAAAGTAATGGTTGAAAGCTTCCCAAATTTGATGAAAGAAATGAGTCTATACAACCAAGAAGCTCAATGATTCCATAAATTCGAAGAAATGTAGAGGCACCTTATAATCAACCTGGTGAAAGCCACAGACAAAGAAAGAATCTTGAAAGCAGTATGAGAGAAGCAACTCATCATGTACTTGGAATACTCAATAAGATGAATAGCTGATTTCTCATCCAAAATCACGGCCAGAAACATCATGACTCACTGAATAGTCTATGAATCATAAACACAATAAGTAAAAAGAAAACCACTCTTAGGCACAATATACCAAAACTGCTGAAATCCAAGGATGAGAAGGGCTTCCCTGGTGGCACAGTGGTTAAGAATCTGCCTGCCAATGCAGGGAACACAGGTTCGAGCCCTGGTCCGGGAAGATCCCACATGCCACAGCGCAACTAGGCCCGTGTGCCACGACTACTGAGCCTGCGCTCAGGAGCCTGTGAGCCACAACTACTGAGCCCACATGCCACAACTACTGAAGCCCACACTCCTAGAGCCTGTGCTTCACAACAAGAGAAGCCACGGCAATGAGAAGCCCACGCACATCAACAAAGAGTAGCCCCCGATTGCCACAACTAGAGAAAAGCCCTTGCACTGCAATGAAGACCCAACGCAGCCAAAAATAAATAAATTAATTAATTAATTAAAATGTTAAAAACAAAGACAATGAGAAAAGTTTAAAAGCAACCAAAGACACATTACTTTCAAAGGCATTGACTAATCACTGATTTTTTCACTTAAAAAAAAAAAAAGGAATCTATATGACACTGCATTGCAATATGTTCAAAGTGCTAAAAGAAAATAAATGCCAAGGGAGGACCTTCAAGATGGCAGAGGAGTAAGACATAGAGATCACCTTCCTCCCCACAAATACATCAAAAATACATCTACATGTGGAACAACTCCTACAGAACACCTACTGGCAGAAGACCTCAGACTTCCCAAAAGGCAAGAAAATCCCTACATACCTGCGTAGGGCAAAAGAAAAAAGAAAAAACAGAGACAAAAGAATAGGGATGGGACCCATACCTCTTGGAGGGAGCTGTGAAGGAGAAGTTTCCACACACTAGGAAGCCCCTTCGCGGGCGGAGACAGGGTGCGCACAGCGGGGAGCTTCGGAGCCGCGGAGGAGAGCGCAGCAACAGGGGTGCAGAAGGCAAAGCAGAGAGAGTCCCGCACAGAGGATCGGGGCTGACCAGCAGTCACCAGCCTGAGAGGCTTGTCTGCTCACCTGCTGGGATGGGTGAGGGCTGGGAGCTGAGGCTCGGGCGTCAGAGGGCAGATCCCAGGGAGAGGACTGG